GATCGATACTGGGACCCACGCTTTTCCTTATGTACATCAATGAAATATGCAAAATATCAACAGTCATGAAGTTTATACTCTTTGCCGATGACACCACCATCACATGTTCAGGAGACGACTTGGAGCAACTTCTATCCCTTGTAACAATGGAGATGAACAGACTAAAATTATGGTTTGATAATAACAAACTGTCCCTTAACCTAAAAAAGACCAAAATCATGCTTTTTAGTAATCGCAAAAGTAAAATTCCAGTTAGAATTACAATTGATGACACACCGATTCACAAAGTTCCACAAAACGTATTCTTGGGAGTGATAATAGATGAAGATCTGAGCTGGAAACCTCACATAAGTTACTTGAGGACAAAAGTTGCTAAGTGTGTGGGAATAATGAGGAGAGCATGTCACCTGATCAATACCAATGCTCTTGTGTTACTGTATCATTCATTTATAATGTCATATTTAAATTACTGTGTGGAAGTGTGGGGTAATTGCTACAAATCTCACTTACAGCCTCTGATTATCTTGCAAAAGAAGGCTATAAGGATTGTGTCTAACGTCCACTACAGACATCCTTCCAATCCTCTGTTCATTCAAAACCAGCAACTGAAACTGCAGGACTTGATTGTCCTAAAAACTGCTCAGATAATGTTCAGGGCGTCTGAAAACTCTCTACCGTCCAATATAAGTCATCTTTTCAACGATAGAGATGCTCATCATAATTACAGATTAAGAGGAAACAAACTTTTATATGTACCTAGATTTAGGACGACATTAAAATCTATGTGTATCTCGGTCCGAGGCGTCCACATTTGGAATGGATTAAAAGAAGAATTAAAAACATGCTCAACTATGACTGCTTTTAAAAAGAAATTTAAAAGAGACATATTGAAGAAATACATGGAGGACAGAGAGTGATGCCCTGGGCCTGGACAGAGCGGTGGGAGAGAGGTGTGTGGTCAGGGAGTGTTTGGGCCAGTGTCTGTGTGAGTGAGAGAATGAGTGTGCGTCTTGTCTCTGTGTGTCTTGTTTTTTTATTATTATTTTGTATTTTGTATTTGATGCAATGATATAACTGTACAGTGTTAGTGTAATTTGTATTTGCTGTTTTGCTGGAAGTGTGAGGGGGTTGGAAATGTATAAGCGTCTGCTTCACCCAACCCCCTTTTCAAAACTTGTGACTCTTTTTATTTGATAACTGATATTTGTACTTGTTTTTGTGCAGGTTTTGAAATAAATAAATAAATAAAAAATAAAAAAATATTTGTCCGATCACAAACCTGACTCTCTTCTACAGTCTTGTAGTGAATCATAGTCTCCACGTTCTGCTGTTTGGCCCGATGCCCTCCTCTCTGACTGTGGGCCGGTCCCAGCGCCTCAGCAGTTACCGTAGAAACTGGCTCGATGGCCGGGTCTCCTCAGAAATCCCGCTCCCCAACAAACCTCCCAGCAAACACAAAGATTTCATTTCAGTCCGTGTGCACTTTACTGCCAGCTTCAAAAGAATCCGCTAAAAAGAGGAGGAAGTTGATTCACAAAGCTGGGCACAAATCTTCCTGCCCTGCTCCGTGTCTCAGCCGCTGTTTTATGTGCGGTTTTCCTCACGCCCATCGCTCTCCGCAGTATTCTCTTGTGCGTGCGACATTGTCCATACGACTTGTGCTGTCCCAGGCTTTTGTCTTCCTCTAAATGTGCCACTGCTGCTGCTCAAACCATCTGCTTTTAGATCTACGAGACTGTACTCGACTAAAGTTATTTCTGTCCGACAGTGGTTCCCAACCTTTTTGTGGAGCCCTCAGACTCTCCATGCAGCCCTGGCCAAACCAACTGATCCAGGTCATAGGCATAGACTGTATATAGATGGACAATGCTAACCCTCTAGCTCAATGAAGCCCAAAAGGGAAGTGCTCATGAACAAAGTTTTGCTCCAACGCGCTCTGGCTTTTTTGTTTGTGTATGTACAGCACTAATTTTGCTCGGGGGGAGACGGGCTCAGGGTATAAATACACAAACGGAGACACAGGTGAAGTACATTAGCATGGGACAAGTAATCCACACAGGAAGAGGAAAAGAAACTCTGCAAGGACGATCAATATTAAATGATAAAACAAAATATCAAATCATAAACAGAGCCAAACCATGTCAGAATGTCTATTGGAATTATCGGGCTGTATTGTATTTGTGTCAGTGGCAAATCACAGTTTCAATATTATTGATTAGGGGTGGCACAGTGGCACAGTGATCAGCAAGAACGTCCTGAGTTTGAATCCCAGTTGAAACAGGGTCTTTCTGAGTGGAGTTTGCATGTTCTCCCCGTGTCTGCAAAGGTTTCCTCGAGGTGCTCCTGTTTATAGAAGAAGAAGAAGATAGTCCGTTATTTATCCCACAGTGGGGAAATTTCAGTTTGATGAATACACAAATACAGGCCAAAACAGTGTACAATTACTTCCGCGCTCCTTATAGGCAAAGTGAGGTAAAGTGTCTTGTCAGAGGATACAATGACAGCAGACATCAGGGGGAGTCACAACTTTCAGGCTCTACCAACTAAGCCATGGTCGCCCCACTAAAGACATGTAGGTAAAATCTTCCAGCTTTGATAGTTCTGACCAAGCTGAAGATCAACATCTGGAAATGGACCTTGCATGCTGGTCCTGACAGAGGCCTTAGTGGCAATGAGGGATGGGTCCAATGCAGAGGACAAATGGTTCTACGGGGATTAAATACTGTATTGTAATCTTTACCTTAACCCTTTTATGGTTTCCTCAATCACATGTTGGATCACCTTTTGAATCACTCCATCTACTTTAAGCTTGGAACTAGAATATACCTCTTTTGGGCACTTTTACCATCAAACTGCATCTCAACCATTCGGTAAAGGCCTATAATTGAAAACAAAACTAAAACGTAAAAACAAATGATTTATGTAATTAGTGTCCTACAGAAAAAAAAAAAAACACTTTGCTTTCTTCAATGAGTGAATGTCAAAGGGTTAATCTCACTATATCTCTGTTAATAAATCATCAAAAATATCACTGTAGACACAATCAGCCAATTAGTTTGTTCATTCGAGCCAAAATGCATGAATAAATGACATTAAAACATCCATTAATTACTTTAAAAACAGGGAAAAACAACAAACATGGCTGAAATCTCTTGCAAGTCATAAAAAGGAAGTGTGTTTGAAATGGATCTGCAGTGTATGTGAACTCTCCACGACAAAGCGTTGCGGCTCCAAATCACAATGTTGGCTTTGTGTCAGCGGCTCTCATTGTGTTTTGTTTGAAAGCGGTTGCCACTTCCTGGGTCCAACGCGGTGCCTGGCCTCAGCATCACTCCAACAATCGTCCCACACTGCACCCGATTGTTGCATTTTCTCCTGTAGTTTAGTTTCTCTTCACATGTTCAGGCAAGGCAAGTTTATTTGTAGTTCATACACAAGGAAACTCAAAGTGCTTTACAAGATAAAAACAGTCACACAAGGCATTAAATCATACATAATCAAAGTACATTAAAAAGACACAATTCTTTAGTTTTTAACCTGGATTTAAGCCTAGAACCCTGTCTCACATTTTCAGGAAGACTTTTAGCTGCATAAAACTGAAACGCTGCCTCCCTGTGTTTAGTCCTGATTCGGGCAACCAGCAGGAGGCCAGTCCCTGTGCTGGAAAATAACTAATTTAAACAGCAGCTCATGTAGGAGATGTGTAAAAATGAATATATATCATGGACTGTATCACAATGACAGTCCAATAGGGAAGTGCTCATGGACAAAGCTTTGCACCAACTCACTCTCTATCTTCTTTGGTGTTTATATTAGAGGTGGTGCAGCAGTTGGCACCAAAAATGTTCTAGGTTCGATATCTAGTCGTATAGTAGTGACTTTTTTAGATCATTCAGTTTGGAATTTACATACTGTCCCTTTAAGATCTAGGCAAGGCAAGTTTATTTGTATAGCACAGTTCATATACAAGGCAAGACAAGATGGAGACAGTCACACTAGGCATTAAAGTCATTAATAATCAATGTAAAAGAAATATATCAAGCTTGAGATAGATAGTATTAGTATCTTTTAGTTCTGTTAAACACTTTTTAAACACTGCCTTGTGTATGAACTGTGCAATACAAATAAACTTGCCTTGCCTTTTACTTGTGTTCATTCAACTTGATTGCACCTTGAGCCAAAGCTACTGTGTTACTTTCAATGACAATACGAAGAATTCTGTCACTAAATACTATTGTTTCCTTTATTTCTCCCGCAGTGGGGAAATTTCAGTGTTGCATCACCGGTGACAGAACAGTAGGAATGATAGAACAATAATTCAAAACTAAAATTGAAACAAAATCTCTAGCTTTAGCATAATAAAGAAGCTAGTATAAAATCTCTAGCTTTAGCATAATAAAGAAGCTAGTATAAAATCTCTAGCTTTAGCATAATAAAGAAGCTAGTATAAAATCTCTAATAATAAATAAGCTAGTAAAAAAATCTCCCTGTGCTAAAATGGAAAATATGACTTTCCTATAGTCTCCAAACGCAGGTCACTTCTGATTCAGCAGTTCCAACATTTGGTACCATGTGTGCAGTGCTGGTGTCTGTCCAGTAAACATGTCCGTGTGTAAAAGTTCTATATCGTCTACTTTGGTGCAGACAGTGTGAGTTCTGGCATGAGCTTCACTGCTACATGTTACCTGTGTCCTGACAAATATTTAACTGTGTACTGCAACCTTTATTAGCTTAATACGAGGAGGAAGGATGTGGGCGACAAAAAAAGCAGTACACACAGTATAAATAGTTCTGCAAGTACTTTACACTACTGCGTTCTACTGTGTGAACTTGTTATTTGTTATTATAAATGATTTATTATCTTGACTGATTGAGCAGTTATGATTCAAGGTTCAAGGTTTCATTTTCAACTTCAATGCAGAGACTTGTAAAGCGCGTCCGTAAATACATAGATATTGAATACTTACTAATAGTGTCTTTTATGTTTTTGGTTTTTCCAGGACATCACACAGTTTACATCGGCGTGAGGGTCCCCAAGAGCTACAGGAGGAGACGGCGCCACCGACGTAAAAGCGGAAACAAAGACAGAAAAGAGCGAGTGTCGGACAACACTGAAGAAAAGTCTGACACCGAGAACCAGGACCCAGACGAGGCCAGCAACAGCATCCTCAAGCCACTCAGTAAGTCCCACTCAAGTAGTAGCAGTAGCAGTATTAGTATTATTATAATATAGTGTTTATACTGCAACACTTTTATATAAATCACTATAAACATGGTCCAAAAGGGGTTGGAAGAAGCATCATTTTGTATAATCCCAAACCCTGTATTGATAGTAGTAGTAGTAGTATAGAGTTAGTACACACACACACACACACACACACACGCACATGCAGGCCCAAACACTCTCTAACCCTACACCTCTCTCCCATCACTTGTTTGGCCTTAAAACTGGGCTACCTAATTTTCTCTCCAGTAAAATCAATGTGACTCGGCCCTCGCTCTTTAAACCGTTTGCTTCTATATCTCGTTTTAACCTGCATTTTTATCACATCTTAAGATCAGCTTTTTCCGACAGAAAAGTGAACCCGAGAGGACCACCCTTACTCAGCTAGAAACTCCACGTGAAATGGAGGAGAGAGTATAGAGTGAAAAGCTGGTGATGGTCCCACGTCAGCTCCCATCACTGCTCCTGTCCATCCATGACGCCACAAAAAGCCCCGTGACCCGCGCTCACCCCATAAGCAGTTGCTGAGTCCACTATGCCGCTAAAAATAGAAATATTCAGACGCAGCAGATTTATTTTGAGGAAAAGTGGTGTAGTAATGGTGTGTGTGTGTGTGTGTGTGTGTGAATGGTCCGTGAGGCTTTTGTCCTTGACTGCGTGACTTTGAAAGATGTGGATATCTGCTGTGCTTTGTGGCTTGTCCTACAGTATAGTGACTAATGGACCCCGAGGCACCGCGCTTACACTCTGGACGCGCAAAGACTAAAAGACAATCGCTCCGTGACCGTAAGGCGGGCATGTCAAACGCAGGCCCGTGGGACAAATCCGGCCCTCGAGTCCATTCTTAGTGGTCCCTGAAGTGATATTCAATGACCATTATTACAGTAGCTTGCAACATTGATGCTGATGGGATACTCTGGCATGTTATACTGCATTATGGAGCTTATTGTCCCAGGAAGAAAACGTATAATTGAATCTGTTCTATAATTTGAAGAAAAATTCAGCCAATTATTGATCTTGTTACATTTAACTATCAGTCTTCAAATATATCTCTTCTTGATATCCGGCCCAGTTGTGGTTGATTGTAAACATACTATAAATACAGTTAAATACACATACATTTAGTTTGTCAAAAGATCAAAATATGTCAAAAACCAACAAACTATTGTACCACTTTTATTCTTCTAGCCCCAACCACCTCTTTTGTTTTTAAGATTGGCCCTCAACTAAAATGAGTATGATGTATTTGAATGTTGATTTTTGTTTTATTTTTTTACTGCATGATTTTGACACTTTGACGGTGACCTGCCGTCTCATTATCCAATGACACGTATTGACACATGCTTTTATTTTTTTATTTGACAGGGACATTGCACAACAAATGTATTGTTCAGACCGGACATAGCTACAAGCTAATTTTCATCCGTAGTCCCTGAGGCAGAGGCAACGTGACGTAAATAGAAAGAATGGCCTAATCAGTAAAATAAAGGTAAAATCCAACACCTCTAATCACACAGACATAATACAGTATTATTTACATCTGTCTAATGACTACAGACTTGATTCTCTTTGAGCCAGTTTTTTAGGCTGAGTTTAAACTGCCCTAGTGAGCTACTCTCTTGCACATACAGTGAGTTCCAGGCCAAGGCTGCTTTGACAGAAAAACAGTTCTGACCAAATGAGGAGGACCTAAAGTTCTCAGTCTCCCCTGGATGTGGCTCTGGTGGATCTGATTCTCACCTCCTCACACCTTTTCTCAAATGTATTTAGTGGTGGGGGTGCCAAATTTGACCATTTAAGACAGATGTTTGCAAACGGTGGCTGAGTTGATAGCACTCTCGCCTCTCAGCAAGAAGGTCCTGGGTTCGAATCCCGGTCGGACCAGGGCCTTTCTGAGTGGAGTTTGCATGTTCTCCCCGTGTCTGCGTAGGTTTCCTCCGGGTACTCCGGTTTCCCCTACCACTAAAAATATGTCCAATAGTTCTGGCATGTGCCTCCTGTACTGGCGACCCCGCTCCCATCTCTGTGTGGAGTGAGAGACAAATGCCCAAAAAATTAACAATTGTAAACCGCTTTGAGACTCAGATCTGCAGTGAAAAGGCGGTATATAAATAAAGATTACTTACTTACTTACAAACTGGATGACACTCTCAAATGTTAATAATTTATATTTCTCAACAGTTTTGCAATGATGATGTGACCTTGTTTTTTTTTTAATCTAGTATCTTTAGGGCTTGTTTCTATAAGCTCAGAAGAGGTTTCATTGCTGAGTCTGGAGCCAATGACCAGGATGTGCAACAATAAGTAAATTGTGAAAAAATCATTGAATGCATAAAGAGCTTTGCTGCATCTGGACTTCTCTGGTGACGGATTCCCCTAAATTGGAACTAAAACTAAATTTTATGCATTGGATAATTTTGGAAATGTGCGTTGTGTCCTGTCAAGCTCAACACCTAAATATGTAGTGGAGTTCACATGTATTTTGCACAATAATGGAGGGAAGTTAAACAGAGATTACAGACCCTGGTGGTGGTGGCGCTGAAGAGATGGACCAATGACATGTAGAGAGTGTTGCATTATTGAGGTGGTGATGAAGAGGATAATAGAAGGAGGATAGGATGATAGAAACATGCTCCATCATGGCCACACACACGTCAGCTTTATATTCTTACTTAAATCTTCTTTTGTAACGACCTAAAAGCAGGTAATACTATGTTCTCAGAAAGAAGAGTTTGTAATAATAATGTTATTGGGTCATCACTCTCAATAATGCCCAGTATTATATAGATTACAGGGTGAAAGATAAGCAGGTCACGGCACAAATATTATAACTTCCTTTAAACTATATCTTTAATTGGATTTCAGTTAATGCCCAGTTGAATATTGAACTACATATAGACCTAATAATAAATTTCACATTTTGTAGTCCTCGGAAACACAATAAACGTTTTTGTTTTGTACATATTTTGACACATGGCTCTATGGGATTTTGTAAGAGGTTCCTTTTTTACCCTGATGCAGTGTTTTATTTATTGTACAGGGATTTTCTTAAATCCAATCAGAGAATAGATTACAGTCAGCCCATCTGGCTCTCACCATTGCCATGTTTCAGATTGTACATTGTGAATATTGTAAAGAAGTAGGTTTTATGTGTAAACATTTTGAACAAGAGAAACATAAATAACAGTGTTTCCCTCTGGTTTAAACTGAGGCGATGTTGCATTAAGGTTAAGGTTCACTTTGTTGTCCCCACAGAGAAATGTGTCCTCTGCATTTGACCCATTGTCCACTGCCTCCGGGGCCTCTGTCAGGAGCAGTGGTGCCGCAGTGCAGAGGCCGCCATCTCCAGATGTTGATGCTCGGTTTGGTCACGATACTGGAGCCGGAGGCAAAGCTTATGAAATTGTCTTCTTTGAGACCAGTATTTAAAAAGAGATACAATAATCATTTAGACCAATCATTTATAGACCAATAATTTACAGGACAGCAGCATAAAGGAGAAATCTATGACAGACGAAGGTGGCAATAACTGTAATTACAATTTATGAAGGTTGTCTGTATTCTGAGGCTGGAAATAATGCTGATTTAAGACGAAAGGGAGATATTTATTCATCACAATGGGACAAAACACTAGTTTAAATCTGAAGTGTGGCAGGTTGATGTTAGAGCCATCAACAAACAAACTTAGCCGCAGTCACACAGACATAAAAAAAGCATGTTAGAAAAGTAAGTACTCCTTTTCAAACATTTGCTCGAATTCATGTGAAGTTAAACATTTTGTCTGTATACATGTTTGAAATAAATAAATAAATACAAAATACAAAGTAAGTACATTAAGTTTAATTGTATAGCGCCTTGCACAGACCAGGATCACAAAGCACTTCATAATTAAAAACATAGAAAAATAATACACATGTCAAACTCAGGCCCGGTGGCCAAATCCGACCCAAGACCATTTCCAGTGGCCCCTTAAATTATTCTAAATGATATTATTATTATTATTATTATTATTATATTAGGTTGCTGTATTAATGATAGTTGGCTGCAATAGCATGGTATACCTCTTTTTAAGTCTAAATTTCTAAATAAAACAACCATATAATTCAACGTATTTTGAAACATGTAGTTAGAAGTTTTTTATAGGTCCAGTTTGGGTTCAATCCACAAAAACTTAACTCATTTTGTTCATAAAAATCTACTGGAAAAGATTATCCAATCTAACTAATGTGAATCAAGTAATGTATCAAAAAATGAATAAACTGGTTTTATACTTTCAGCACCCAACCAGGTTTTAAATGTTTTTAAAATCAATCAAAATGAGTTTGACACCCCTGGGTTAGATCTGACACAATCCAGCCAACTGCAATTTCCAGTGTATTTTCCGTCACTGGATTATCTCCTTTGATTAAACGGCATTGGATCAATATTGAGAGGTGGAATTACCGTGTGAGCTGACGTCAATCTCCGAGCTCCGTGTATTTCTTGTATATTGTTTTGTGAGGGACGTGTTTTGGCCCCGGGGGAGAAGCTGCTGTTGTTTGGTCAGATGTCCACTGCGGGGTTCGGACGGCTGTGTGGACTCAGCCTGACCACCTACTGCACTCGCAAACCTCCTCAAATCAGGGCTGAACAATTGTGGCAAAATGTCTGGTTTTTAGGGCGGCCATCGCGATTGAGGTTGTGTTTGGATTGTAATTGTTATTGGATTGTTTGGATAAGAATTGTCAGTTAAATATCTCATATAGGAGACAAAACCTGTGATATTTGAGAAGTAAAATGAAGCTGGTATTATTGACTGAAAGTGTGCAAGAAATGATCTAAAGCAAATTAGACACGTGCAAAAATGTAGACATCCTTTAATCTTCTTTTACCTCGTGGCAAAATGTCTGTTTTTTAGGGCCGACATTGCGAATAAGATTATATTTGGATTGACATTGTAATTGGATTTTTTATTTTTATTTTGAAGATGCACAGCACATTTCCACTTACATCATCATAACAGACAAATATGGACAAAGTCCATACACGCTTTGAATCTGTTAAAAATATGATTATGTTTTAAAGTCAAGTATTTTCTTTACTTTATTAACACAGATCTGATCATAGACTGTATATTATTAGTGTTAGCTGTTTAACTCTAACAGGCTTTTTGAGCGGGAATGTGGAGCCAAATGTAAGCAAATGTTGTTGGTGGAAACGGGCGAGAGCCAATCAAAAGCGCCGCTGTTCTGTTCCCTCTTGCGCTACGGGCCAGCCAAAGCCGACAGAAGGTTGCTGATTGGTCAGTTGTTGATATCTGGATATACAAAGACAATATCATGATATAAACACCAGGACCATGGATTTTTATAGCCATTATTAATGAGATTAACCTAGATTACTCACATCCAATTTTTTTTGACAGCGTAAGATCGTCAAACAAGACCAGAGCGTTTTTTGGGAGATTCTTTCACATAATGGCGTGTGCTGAGAGGGCGGTTATTTCCTAAAATTCTGGAAAACCCTGCTTTATACCTTTTAGACAGATGCAATATACACAGCATTCACATTTGATTGAAGATTTTACCAGAGACGTGTTTAGATAAGACACTATTATGTTTGCAAAGTACTTTTGAGATTTACTAAGTCTAAGTTATTTCGAAATTTGGATTTGATTAAGATTTGGGTACATTCTAAGTCCTTTCTTCTAATAATATCCACTCCTATTATTGTATAATTGTGCCTTAGGTCAATCAATTTGCACTTTATGTCTAAATACTAAACAGTACAGTTTGTCTTTGTGTCGTTCAATCCTCCACAGTTAAACAGACGTTGCATTGTTCCTGAAGGATGCTAGAAGACTATAGGCTACATTATGTCCCCTTTAAGTTGAATCCCTTTTCAGATCGTTTTTTGTTTCACGCTGACTTATCAATTGGACGTAAAGTTTGCTGTTTCTTATTCAGTTTTCGAAGGATCATAATCCAAACATCCACAGACGTATGGATCACTGGCTCCTATGTGTTTTTTATTATTGTATTTCTTGTGTTTGAATTGTTTGATTCTCCGATCTGTTCTTGGTGAATCGACTACTTTGTAAAGTCCTCCGAGACTACTGCTGTTGGGAAATGGGGCTAAAAAGAGATAAATTGAACTGAATTGAGAGTCTGAACTGGTCACGGAGATGATTGCGTACAGACAGCTGAAATAACGGCAAAACATCATTGGAATGAGAGACATTTTTGATATTTTGTTAGTATTTTTGTTAGCATGCCTTTTGCACAGACTTTATGAAACTATGTGCTGTAACAGATTCTCTAACCTCGACCTTATTAGGTTTTCGTCATGCAAAACTGAATGTAGGAGAAGCTGCTTTCCCGGATTTTCCTTGTAAATGAACGGTTTGCCTGTGATGACATTCACCAGGAAACTCAAGTCTCATCTACAGACTGTTTTTTTCTGCAGACTCAGATGTGTCTCTACCTAAAAGTCTTGTCTTTGAACTTAATAATGTATTTTCTATGAGTATTTTCTACATGTGTGGTCCTCCCCGAGGTTTCTCACCTTTTTCCCATTGGTTTTTGAGTCGTTCCTCGTCGATGCACGTGGTTGATTTAACCCTTTAACGTTCTTTCCTTGAAGAAAGAAGATGTAGGAACATTAATAACCAAAATAATTAGTTTTTATTTTTATGTTTTTTTGAACCCCTATTTTTTCATTTTATTATAGGCCTCTAACAAATGATTGAGTGACAGTTTGATGGTAAAGTGCCAAGTGAAAGAGATGCCCTTATGAGGTAGATTCTCTGACAACACGACGATGGGATTTAGGGCTATACAAAAATAAATGGAATTGAATAGTGCAACTTGACTCGAAAGCTGCGGACAATTCCATACCCTACCTGCCCTATCTGAAGCAGCAGGGTCGCGTACGAGGCCATCTCCGGCACGCGGCACACATGGCCCTGTTTGTTTGTCATTATTGCGGCCTGCGGCAGGTATTTACGGCATTTGATCAAAGGAATAAAGCGTTTTTTGACTGAACCCGGGGGTTGCATCCAGCCGCTCCGCTCCTCACCCAATTTCAGACGCTGTGGCATGATCGACATTTCCTGTACTCTCTCTGCTCCCGTCTCTGCTCTGAATGAAAGATGCCATGCCACATTGTCACCAAACGCACGCTCAGTAAAAACATGCGACGTTATTTATACTGTATATATATATATATATATATACGTCCCCTGAAGCTTCGGCCGGAGCTGCAAAAAGGTCATCTCGCAGAATGCATGTGTGTGGGACGCATGTAGAAGTGGGACTAAACTCTCCTTTAGTAGCAGCCACACTAAGCTCTGGGCAGGACAGCGGGCATTCTTCCTCCTTCCCATATCCCATGAGCCTTTGCTGCCTGGACAAAGTGCCCTTTGTATGCCCCTGGCTCTGGGCAAGTGCTCACACAGCTCTGAGATTGCATTTGAACGATGGGATTTTCATTTCTGTCCCTCGGCTTTGCACTTTCCTTCACCTTACTGCGTTTTTTTCGGCCACAACTGTTTGTAAAGCAGAAGGAAAACTTTGATGAGCTTGTAATATTTTGCGAGTTGTCTTCTCATTGATTTATCTTTATTCGAATGAGCCTGTATCGTTCTGAATTTGAGCCTTTTGATTTTGTCTGCACCCAGGTCCCTGTGTTTACCAACCTACCTGACACATTGGTATACAGGCCTCTGTGTTTTGTATCATACTATTCTTGGACATAAACTGTATTTTTAGACGCATTCTGTATTATTTACTATAATGTACAGCTTATATATTTACAGTCAGTGTGTTTTTAAGTATTTAATTGGTGTAATTGACACATTGTCCCCTAAAAGTGCACAATGAACATGTACATTATTTGTCCTGAGGTGTTATTATGCAAGTGGTGGTCAGAGAATATGCAGACAGCAGACAGTCTCCTCTACCCAGTAATCTGCTGCTCCACGTCTTAAGTCCTCCCCTCCAGTCTTCAAAACCCCACTCAGAAAACTGCCCTCATGGCCACAGTTTACCTGTTGATTCTCAGTAAAAGGCTTCCTTTGTGTGGTTACAGTTATGTACAGTATGTCATGCATGACATTACACAATGATGTTCAAAGGAGCATGATGGCCATAGCTGAGGGATAATAGTCAGGGGCCTGTGTCGCTGCAGTGCATTGTGGGGGCTCCTCTATTGTCTCTGTGACAGTATCAACAGCATTTGTAATATGTCTCAATACTCATGGAAAGTATTTTAAAAGTGTAACCTATTCAAAGTTTTTTCTGCCCCTCTTTGTTCATCCTCTAAATATTCAAATGAGATGAAAGGGAAAGCAAAGCCGAGCTTCTGGGCATAGAATGGCCCATTTCCTAATTGTTAATCAAGACCTCTGGGGCATTTTGCCAAAGCGTGAGGGCCAATGGTGGAGTTTGTTTAAACATGGAGGGGGGTGTGATGTGGGGGATACTGTCACCGAGGGGACCCCAAACCCCATTGGCTCCTCTTCAGAACCACTTGACGGAGTGCTGGAGCAGTGTGAGATCACCACACACTGTAATGAGGCTGTAGGCTCTGCAGCGCACCATACTCACTGCTATCACAAGAAAAGCTGACTGGGATATTTAAACATGTCCAACAACAACAATAACATGGAGGAGAAAGAGGAAGAAGAACCAGAGCAGAAGGAAGAGCTGGTGATGGAGGTGCCACCGCCGCCGTACGCTCCGGAGGTCACAGCTCTGGTCCCGGAGGACTCTCACCACAGCCCAGTGACCGGGACTATCTTTACTCTGTCCACAGTCTCTCCTGCTGCAGAGAGGATCCGCTTCATCCTGGGAGAGGAGGACGATGGCCCTGCTCCCCCTCAGCTCTTCACCGAGCTGGACGAGCTGCTGTCAGTGGACGGACAGGAGATGGAGTGGAAGGAGACGGCCAGGTGAGTCGCCATGACGACAGTGTGCACAAATAAATCATGTTTGACCCTTTGGTTAAGAATGTCAAAGCTAATGCAAACATGTAAGAGAGGGGATGCTACAGGACAGGCAGGCTGTTCCCTCGGGCCCCTGCAGAACGAACACATGTTAAAAGAGAGTACTGTTAAAGCTGGAGGCCCCTGCTGTGCATGTACTGTACGTGTGGCCTCTGTGTTCTTCTTGCAAACCATTGACCCTAACTTTTATTCATTGACAATTTTTCTTTACTTATTTGTCATCCGATGTCTGTCTTTATGTACTTTAGTGCAAAATTAATGTTATAAATCATTAAATATAAAGTCTGGAAACATTGTAGTTTCAAGAAAGTTTCTGGTTTGAATACTGTAGGTGTAAAATCTTCCTCTCTTCCCTTTGACTATCTTTGTGCAAGGCTTGTCTTTATTGGATTGATTACAGCCCAAAAACATATATACTTTTGACTATATGTAGTTTATGTTATTTTTACTTGTATTTTTGTTTAGCCTACGCACACAGAGCACCAACAACAAGTGCAAAGAGGAAAAGTGTCCATCATTAGTATGGAGCAAGTGACGCTCTCTGTTAGAAGTGGGCCCACGGGCTTCGAATGAGAAGGCTCACTCCTATTGTTTAACTTTACCACCGTGAGATTTCAAATAGTATTCCATTAGTCAAGTGGTACTTTGGGACAAAAAGCTAAAGATAAAAACCCTATCTAGCTAAGCTGTCTAAATCAGGGGTGGTTAATTATTTTCCCTGGGGACCACATTTGGATATTGCCATATTGTATTGAATTGAAGGGTTTTTTCGCCAAAACATAAAGGCCATGATTTATTTCATGTATTTGACACAAAAACATATTTAAAGATCAGAAAAGAAAATCATAATATTTGTTGTGTGTTTGTGTAAATAGGTCATCTTTAGCATCTATGGCTAGGGTTAGGTTATTTTATCTAAACCTTTTTACATTATGAAGTTATATAGCTTTGAACTAAGCCATGGTAACACATTAAGTTACAAATCTTCATTGGTATCGACTCACATTCATTTAAATACAAGGTTAACTGGGAAGGGTCTTGGGGCCGCATTGAAAGGAGAATCAGGCCGCATGGGGCCCCCAGGCCGCAGTTTGGTCTGCTCTGAATGGCCTCTTTTCAAACACAGAAGGCTATGACAAATTCTTGTTTTCTGGTATTTAAACCAAAAGATTGCAAAAAAAAGACTATTTACTTTGTCATTTCAATCAAATCAATATTTTTTTTATTTATAAAACACAAATCATATAGTATAACCCAAAGTGCTTTGACAAAATACAATATAACAAAAAATATAAAATTGTGTTAGAATGTGAAATTATATATGATGAGATTGTAAGTAGAAAATATAGAGTGAAACAGAGAGTGAAACATTGCCAGAGTGAGTGGTAATGTGTACTTGCGGGCCGTGTTCAAGACGGATTTCTACTTTTTTCATGGAACATACAAATAACACCATTTTCTATTTAGTAGTTTGCATTCATGTGACATCACAACATTCCAAAAAGGCTGTAGTTAACCTTTGTAATGGGCGTCAGATCAATTATACGTCCTTTTTACTAGTCAGATTTCTAGGCTAATTTCTCTGTAACATGAAAACAGCCACAGAGTTAAAAATATTCTTTGTCAGCACATCAACTATGGTCTAATTATTTACTCATAAAGCTGCCTTGAAGTAGTGACAATATTCAAAACACATATTGCAGGTTTGTCCATCTAATCACTCTTAAATACTAGTCTGGGAAAACATTTGGACATTTTCTTTAAAAAAAAAATCTTCTTTCCCATGGAGTTGTATTGTCACCTGCCTTTCAGCTGAAATATAATGCTACAACATGAATATGGAGGACTTTATATTGTACTTGAAATGAAAATTGATAGAGAAATACTCAAATACCATGCAAAATACCATGTGACCCACTGGTTACCAACATAGCAACAGCAAAACCATGTCAGTTCTGTTGCCCACAATGCATACGATTATAATTGGTCAAAATCATGTATCTTTGTGTCTTGTCTCTGAGTTCAGGTGGATCAAGTTTGAGGAGAAGGTGGAGAAAGGTGGCGAGCGCTGGAGCAAACCGCACGTGGCCACGCTGTCCCTACACAGTCTGTTCGAGCTTCGGACCTGTATAGAAAAGGGAACGATCATGCTGGATATGGAAGCCTCCACTCTGTCTCAGGTTGTGGGTAAGTCACTGGTCAACTCTATTCAAAAATAGATACTGAATATTCCATTGTCTAAATATTGTGATTGAGGGCTATACAAAAATGCATTGAATTGAAATGAATTAAGTTGAGGAACTGGACTTTCTTTTGGATGGCTGTTTCGCTGTGTAAGCAGTAACCGGTGATGAAGACACGAAGCTTCAGGTTAGCTCCTCGGCTTGTTGTGCTAACTCAGCTGTCTGTGCTAACGGACCTGTAGATTTCTCACGAAAGTGGGGGCTATTGGTCCGCTGTGATTGGTCACAATCTGCGACCCGAAACACATTCTCTTCCTTGTTTCATCAAAACTCGATCTAAAATATAATGTCACGCCAGCACAAATCTGCGCTAATTATTCTTCAAAAGGACGTATATCCCAATGCACCACATGGACATGGATAGCATTTTCGTAATGAATACGAAAATAAAGTCAGTTAGTGCAGCTTTAAATTGTTACAATTCTTGCGTTTAAAGAATGATTCTAAAATGTTATAAGTTACTATAAGTGTCACAATGATTAAAACCTGTAAAAGATCTAAGTTAAAAACAGGTAGAGCAGCTTTAATATCAGAGACACTCTGACCATTATTTAGACTGCTCTGATGTCTTCAGTTTGAGTTGAGTTCGGAATTTCTTCAACTGTGGAAGACTATAATGTTCATTTTTATTATTTTGTTTAATAAATGGACTTAAAGGTGCATTTAGCAATTTTGTTAGCTTAGCCGTAGCACCAACTCGAAACCACTCCCCCCTCCCCTCCCCTCTCCACCAAACCAAACATCCAGCATTTTTTTTTATTTGTCACGACAGGGAGAGTGGGTGGCAAACGTGAAATTGGCCTTTTATTTTCAGCCCTTTTAGGTTTTTAGAAAATCCGAAAACTCAGGTGCGCACACACGAGAAACAGGAAGAGGATGAAGGGGGTAAACACATCCCATTGGTTCGTTGGGGATGAACGAATCCTATTGGTGTATTTTTATCGGTCTGCTCCAAAATATGTTTTATTAATTTATGGAGACTATAGGCATCTGGTCAATTCCATTACTATTTGAAAACACATGATAACTTGACTACTTTTAGGGTTTAGGGACGTTTTCCTGCAATATTTAAAAAAATGCGTCTGGAAAAAAATCAATCACTGACTGCATCTTTAACCCAGATTACGTCTCCCTGGTCTTCAGTGTCAGAAGAACTTTCGCACCTGGCTCACTGCGGCTCTCTTTAAATGAGCCACTGCACAGACTATTTTCTTGTTATGTGGTCCGTTCGTGTCAGCGGCCCTCCACCTCCTCTGGTGATGTACAGTATGTGGCTTGATGGTGAATGCGGCAGGCTTCCCTGGACGGGGGCCCCTGTTTACTGTCACACAGCACGACTGCGAGGCCATTAGCCGCACTATTCCCACACACAAAAGCAAAAGTGCCGTAAGCTCCGTTCACGCAGCATTCACGCAGCATTCACTCTTCTGACCTTCTTTTTAAAAATAGGCTAAACCCTTTGATTGAGTCCTTTGCCGGGACACACTGCATTTCAAAGCAGTCTGGGATCCACTGCTTTGAAGAAAGTTACGAAATAAAGGAAACCAGGCAAAGAGGAGATAAGTTTACTGGAAAATGTGCCCCAAAGTTAGTTGTCTATGCACAAACACTGAACTGTCATTCTGATTGAGATTTCTACTTTAAAGCTGGGGTATGTAACTTTATTTTTGCTCTAGTTTGAGTCTAGTAAAAGTAAAACGTGAACAACACAGACACAACAGCTTTCTTCATATTGTTAGAAAACATGTTCTCCTTTGCAAATATAGAAAGAAAGAGCCCTGTAAAGTCACTATTTGACCCTTTGGGCTGAGAGTTGATTGGATGAGGGATAAGGCCTAAAATACATGCATGTGAAAACTAGTGATAGAAACTGTTTTGAGAGCGAGAAACTGGTTTTATGGATTTTTATTACATACTGGTAGTTGAATTTGTTGCAGTGTTAAAGTGTGGTACACCAGCGTAATTTTGTGAGAAAATATGGTTATAGGCCCATCTCTATGAAGGTTATTTTGTGTTTTTATTATCAACACTTTTTTTTGCTTTTGAATTCTATAAACTGTAACAAAAAAGTATTCAGTGTAAATAAATTCAATGTTTTAAAATTCAGTGTCCAAAAATTCAATGTTTTAAAATTCAGTGTCAAAATATTCAATGTTTTAAAATTCAGTGTCCAAAAATTCAATGTTGAAAAAAATTCAGTGTCCAAAAATTCGTTGCATTTTTTTTCGCTGCTTGAAATTTCATGCTTATTTCCGGGTAAATCAAGAACAAAGCAATCGATCAGCCAATCCTCCATAGATGTAGCCAGGGCCAGAACACGACTTTGGCTTTATCCGAATGTCCACACTATATCGTGCGGGACAATTGTGAGTGAGTGACTGAGTGGACTCATTCTGATGGCGATTCGGACGCTGCACACTATTATCAGGCCGTGCTGTTGTACGTGAGCGTCCCGCAGTAGCATGGATCACGGAGCGGAGAGAGGAGCGGCCATGATGAGGTAAAGGTAAATGTTGAATTTACGTTTTAATTAGGACATAACATTTAATTGTATTAACATTGGAGGTGGGAAATACCCTTCTATTGTTATATCAGAGGTCTGTTTGGTGATTAAACAGATTTTCTTTGGACTTTTTGAAAATGAGAGATGTGTTCTAACTACCATAATAATAATAATAATAATAAATCTTTATTTATAAAGCACTTTTCAAAAACAATGTTTACAAAGTGCTGCACAGCATAATAAACAATACATCAGTCATAATACAAAGTTAAAACAAATAAGAATGAATGTAAGAAGACAAGACAAACAGAGGAAACACAAGACCACAAAACAGACAGGACAGACAGTAAAATACAACATTATAAGTTTAAAGCTGACAATTAAAAGCTGTTTTATAAAAGTGGGTTTTAAGAAGAGATTTAAAAGAGGATACTGATGGTGCTAGCCTTATCTCCTCGGGCAGGTCGTTCCAAAGCCGAGGAGCCCGGACAGAAAAGGCTCGATCACCTTTCGTCCGGAGCCTCGACCTTGGAATGGTCAGCAAGGACCTGCCCGAGGATCTAAGGCTGCGGGGGGGCTCGTAGGGGGTTAAAAGTTCATAAATATAGCTTGGTGCCAGACCTAAACGAGCTTTAAAAGTAATCAGTAAAATCTTGAAATCAATTCTAAATCGCACAGGGAGCCAGTGGAGGGACGCTAAAACAGGGGTGATGTGCTCCCTTCTGTTAAAACCAGTGAGAAGTCTGGCTGCTGCGTTCTGAACCAGTTGGAGGCGGGAGAGGGATTTAGCATCAAGACCGGAGAGGAGGGAGTTACAGTAATCGAGGCGGGAGAAGATGAGGGCGTTGACGACTTTATGGAGATCGGGAGGAGTGAGAATGTTTTTAATCTTAGAGATGGTGCGGAGGTGATAGAAGCAGGTTTGGGTGGTTTTGTTGATGTGGGAGCGGAAAGTGAGGTGAGAATCAAAAATGACACCGAGGTTACGGGCGGAGGGAGTGATGTTTGAGGACAGGGGGCCGAGGTGGGTTTGGATGTGGGATATGGATGGAGGCGGGTTGATGAGGAGGACTTCTGATTTGGAGGTGTTGAGTTGAAGGAAGTTATGGGCCATCCAACGGTTCACATCATTAAAACAGTCGACCACAGCAGCCAGACTTCCAGGGTCGTTTGGTCTCAGCGGGAGGTAGATCTGTGTGTCGTCCGCATAGCAGTGGAAGGACACGTTATGACGGGCCATAACGTGTCCTAGGGGGAGCATATAAATAGAGAATAAAATGGGGCCTAAAATAGAACCTTGCGGCACACCACAGGTGATGGGGGCTGTTGAGGAGGTAAAATCACCCATGGTGACCGCAAAGGTTCTTTCTAAAAGATAAGAATGAAACCAACCAAGTGCAGTATCTCTGATGCCAACCCACGTTTTGAGGCGATCCAATAAAATATCGTGGTCTATAGTGTCGAAGGCAGAGCTTAAATCTAAAAGAATTAAAATAGAGCACTCTCCGCTGTCCGTGGTTAAAAGAAGGTCCGCGGGGGGAGCGGTAGCATTCACGCAGGGGTCCTGCGCTGCGTCAGAGCGCAGTGACCCCTCCGGAGCCAGGACAGCGTTCACAGGGGGACTCCGCACTGCGCTAGAGCGAGGGGATCCCCCCACGGCTGCCCCGGCGTTTGCTACGCTCTGCGCTGTGCACCGTGCGTCTGTGGGGCTACTCACCGTTACATGGCGCAGCGAGTCTCCCGGGGCTGAGGCAGCATTCGCGGGAGGACTCCGCGCTGTCTTCAAACACGGAGATCCCTCCACGGCTGCCCCAGGGTCAGCCAAGCCCCGCGTAGTGTCCGGGCTCTTGGGGCTCCGCGCTGGGTCACAGCTTGGAGGGCCCACGGAGCGCCTGCGGACTGCCTCCTCGACCAGCTTGCGGCGGGTGGGCATGGACGCTCTGCGGTCTTGCCGCCTCTGCTCCAGGCTGCTCTGGCTCCGGGGATGATGGTCTGGGACTGGACAGCCAGGCACCGTTGGCTCCGGGATTGGAGGAGGCAGCGAAGGATCCGGAACCGGGCAGCGCGCTGGATGCTCCGGGAAGAGCACGGAGGCAAAGCTCGGCGCAGGAGCGGGCGGGTCCTTTCGTCGGACCACAATACATGAGGTATTGCTTTGGAGTGGGGTTGAGCAGGATGAGGGGTTCGGGCAGATTACAGGGTCCCAGAGAACAGTGTCGTGTTGAGCGGTGAGTGAGAGGTGTTGTGATTGTCTAAATGCTATGTCCATGAAGTGTTCCAGGAGTAATTCTTTGTGTTTGAGTTCGATGGAGAGGTTATTGACAGTCAATTGCAGTTCTACGGGTGACATGGTATGTACCGGTTTTTTGATTGTGGAGCTGTATGAAGTGAGTTGTGACTTATAGATTTCTTTGTAAATGTTAGTGGGTTGTGTTGTGTCCATGGTTACGGTCTACGGAAGTTAGCCGGCTTGCTAGCCGGCTTGCTACCAGCAGATTCAGACGTGAATAAAAAGTCCGAGGGAGAGTGACAATAATCCTTTTAGGGCTGTTAAAAGGCGCGTAATCCAACCGATTCGCTTGATAAAAACAAATGTTAAAAGCGTGGGTTTTTAGAATAACTTTTAAAAGACAGAGGTTAAAATGCTCCAAACCAGCCGGCGGCCAAGTGATCCTACCATGACTTGTAATTAATAAAACAAATTAACATATTGGTCGTTGTATGTAGTTTACATGTATATCGTAATCCACAGAAGGTGGAGGTGATGGAAATGGATGAAGAAATGATGCCTCTGGAAGACAGCTGCCTCTGGAAAAGAAATTCACACAAAAAAATAATTAATTTAAACAGACCCGGTTCTTCTGGGATTAAAATTAGCCTTTTGTTACAATCAGACATGTCGACATATATGTTCATATACATGTACTGTCCCAGTCAAATTAATTAATATAAATACACAGTAGTAGAGTAGAAACAGACGCTCTGAGGAGGGACAGAAGTACGATGCCTTTACAAACACACACATGAACTTAATATGTCATATCAACAGTAAATGTAAATACATTGCCAGTCTTTAACAGGAGGCTGGTAGAGTGGGATTTACAAATATACTCAATTAAAACCATATCTATCAGTCTGATTCCTCTCTGTAGCATTAATATTGAATCCATGGGTTTGTTTTCTCCCTAAAGAATCGATCCTTCATTCCATCTTGGTTTCACTAAGATGTCAAAATTTAAGAGTAAAGATAGAATAATTATCGGAGGTCTAGATACATAAAAATGAACATAATTAACAACAGCCCCTTAGCATGCTCTGTCTCTAAACAGTCCGCAGGTTTCGTCCTTGCTGCACTGCTAGAATAATATACACATTGAAATTTGAAACATAGTACATATGTCACACAAGAACCGCAAACCCCCATGTCGTTGCTTTCCTGCGGTTCATTTTAGCTTAGCATTAGCGAAGATTAGCTTTGGGGAATCGCCAAAACATAGACGCCACATACGCGGAGCTAGCTAATGATAAGCTAAGGTAAAAACATGTTCAGAAAGTACATAGTGGTTTGTGTGTTACACACCAACTAATGATGAGAAAACACACTTACTGGTTTGCTGTGGACGCCATGTTCAGATGAACAAGACAGTCGTGTTCTGGCCCTGGCTACATCTGTGGAGGATTGGCTGATCGATTGCTTTGTTCTTGATTTACCCTGAAATAAAGCATGACATTTCAAGCAGCAAAAAAAAATGCAAAGAATTTTTGGACACTGAATTTTTTTCAACATTGAATTTTTGGACACTGAATTTTAAAACATTGAATATTTTGACACTGAATTTTAAAACATTGAATTTTTGGACACTGAATTCTAAAACATTGAATTTTTGGACACTGAATTTTAAAACATTTAATTTATTTACGCTGAATACTTTTTTGTTACAGTTTATAGAATTCAAAAGCAAAAAAAAGTGTTGATAATAAAAACACAAAATAACCTTCATACATCTCTCACATCCACAATGGCCAGTTATGGTTCGATCTGGTCAGAGTTAAACAGACAAAAAGATGTATTGGAATTATTATTATAACAACAAACAAATGGTTTATATGGTTAATATGAAAGCCCTGGGGATGAAAGTTAAAGTTGAAGTAATGAGCTAAAGAGTGATTGATGTGGTGATGGGGAGGATGAGGGCTACGGTATGAGCTCATATACAGTACTGGAAGAATTGTATTGAAGCAGGAGCAAATATTCCAATCTTTGCTATGGCTCAATTCTTACCATTTGCTTGTCAGTATTTAAAGACTCCACATCAAACATATTGCATGATAAGAAAGCCAGATCCTGGCAGACCTCTGAAGCTAAGCAGGACAGAACCTAGTAGTACTGTGACAAGAGCACAGCTGTTGTGGGGCAGCTATGGCTGTAAAGTGCCATAGCTGCCCCACAACTGTCATTGTGTCCTTAGGGAAGACACTTCACCCATATTGGTCTGGTCTGTGCGTGAATGATTGGTGGTGGTCGGAGAGGCCAATGGCACTTACTGGTTGCCTCACTTGTGTCAGTGTGCCCCAGGGCAGCTGTGCATAAAGATAGCTAGCTTTATTTTACATTAGTAGTCCCTAGGCTGACAGACAGGCACAGCATATATTTTTTATGTATTTCTATGCACTAGCGGCCCCAAAAATGTTGTATTTTCATTCTAGCTGTTGTTTTTTTCAGCCTTACCAAGCTCTTTATCAAGGGTGTCAAACTGATTTCTCAAAGAACCAGGGTGGTTGCAGGTTTTAATTCCAACCGAGCTGAAGCACACCAGACCCACCCATTTCCGGCTGGAGTCTTACTTCTACTTGGTTAGAATCAAATCCAAGTAGTTTGTGACTGTGTGTCTTCTTGCAGAGATGATCACCGACAACCAAATCGAGGTGGGACAGCTCAAAGCAGAGCTGAAGGACAAGGTGATGTATACGCTGCTACGGAAACACCGGCACCAGACCAAGAAGTCGAACCTGCGCTCTCTGGCCGACATCGGCAAAACGGTCTCCAGTGCAAGTAGGCTGTTTACCAACCAGGACGCCGGTAATACTGATGCCAGTCTGGTGCAGCTTATTTGCATAGCACCCGTTCTACACAAGGCAACGCTTTGGACACAAGTCTTGAGACATAATTGGATGGAAACAAAATCAAATAAACTTCTAACATGTAATAAATATGACTAATACTGTGTTCCAGGCAACAGGGTGGTGGTTATTTCCCTCTTCAACGTCACAAGTTCTAACTTTAAGTTTCAATGTTTCTGGAGCAGTAATATTCACTAAATTACTTCTCAAGAAACGTTGAAACTTCAAGTGATTATTAGGTGCTACATTCATTTATTCAGTTACAGTGCCTTGCGAAAGTATTCGGCCCCCTTGAACCTTTCAACATTTTGCCACATTTCAGGCTTCAAACAAAGATATAAAAACTACATTTTTTGTCAAGAATCAACAACAAGTGGGACACAATTGTGAAGTGGAACAAAATGTATTGGATGATTTAAACTTTTTTAACAAATAAAAAACTGAAATGTGGTGCGTGCAATATTATTCGGCCCCCTTGCGCTAATACTTTGTAGCGCCACCTTTTGCTGCAATTACAGCTGCAAGTCGCTTGGGGTAAAACTCGTATCAGTTTTGCACATCGAGAGACTGGAATTCTTGCCCATTCTTCCTTGAAAACAGCTCGAGCTCAGTGAGGTTGGATGGAGAGCGTTTGTGAACAGCAGTCTTCTGCTCTTTCCACAGATTCTCGATTGGATTCAGGTCTGGACTTTGACTTGGCCATTCTAACACCTGGATACGTCTATTTGTGAACCATTCCATTGTAGATTTGGCTTTATGTTTTGGTCTTTTGCAGACTCCAACAGGTTTTCTTCCAGAATGGTCCTGTATTTGGCTCCATCCATCTTCCCATCAATTTTAGCCATCTTCCCTGTCCCTGCTGAAGAAAAGCAGGCCCAAACCATGATGCTGCCACCACCATGTTTGACAGTGGGGATGGTGTGTTCAGGGTGATGAGCTGTGTTGCTTTTATGCCAAACATATCGTTTTGCATTGTGGCCAAAAAGTTCGATTTTGGTTTCATCTGACCAGAGCACCTTCTTCCACATGTTTGGTGTGTCTCCCAGGTGGCTTGTGGCAAACTTTAAACGAGACATTTTATAGATATCTTTGAGAAATGGCCACTCTTCCATAAAGGCCAGATTTGTGCAGTGCACGACTGATTGTTGTCCTATGGACAGACTCTCCCACCTCAGCTGTAGTTATCTGCAGTTCATCCAGAGTAATCATGGGCCTCTTGGCTGCATCTCTGATCAGTCTTCTCCTTGTTTGAGATGAAAGTTTGGAGGGACGGCCGGGTCTTGGTAGATTTGCAGTGGTCTGATGCTCCTTCCATTTCAATATAATTGCTTGCACAGTGCTCCTTGAGATGTTTAAAGCTTGGGAAATCTTTTTGTATCCAAATCCGGCTTTAAACTTCTCCACAACAGTATCTCGGACCTGCCTGGTGTGTTCCTTTGTCTTCATGGTTCTCTCTGCGCTTTAAACAGAACCCTGAGACTATCAAAGAGCAGGTGCATTTATACGGAGACTTGATTACACACAGGTGCATTCTATTTATCATCATCAGTCATTTAGGACAACATTGGATCATTCAAAGATCCTCACTGAACTTCTGGACTGAGTTTGCCGCACTGAAAGTAAAGGGGCCGAATAATATTGCACGCCCCACTTTTCCGTTTTTTATTTGTTAAAAAAGTTTAGATTATCCAATAAATTTTGTTCCAATTCACGATTGTGTCCCACTTGTTGTTGATTCATGACAAAAAATAAAAATGTTATATCTTTATGTTTGAAACCCGAAATGTGGCGACATTTTGAAAGGTTCAAGGGGACCAAATACTTTCGCAAGGCACTGTAGCTATTTATTTGTATTAATTCTGCTCAATAATAGTACAGAAGAAGGACAAAAAAGTACACAAAACAAAATACATAACCTTGATCAGAGAGAGGCCAGAGAAAGAGAGACCAAAGAGAGAGACCAGAGAGAGACCAGAGAGAGACCAGAGAAAGAGAGACCAAAGAGAGAGACCGGAGAGAGACCAGAGAGAGACCAGAGAGAGAGAGACCAGAGAGACCAGAGAAGGAGAGACCAGAGAAGGAGAGACCAGAGAGAGACCAGAGAGAGACCAGAGAGAGACCAAAGAGGGACCAGAGAGAGACCAGAGAGAGAGAGACCAGAGAGACCAGAGAAGGAGAGACCAGAGAGAGACCAGAGAGAGACCAGAGAGAGACCAAAGAGGGACCAGAGAGAGACCAGCGAGAGACCAAAGAGAGAGAGCAGAGAGAAAGACCAGAGAGACCAGGGAGAGACCAGAGAGAGACCAGGGAAAGAGAGACCAAAGAGAGAGACCAGAGAAAGAGAGACCAAAGAGAGAGACCAGAGAGAGACCAGAGAAAGAGAGACCAAAGAGAGAGACCAGAGAGAGACCAGAGAGAGACCAGAGAGAGACCAGAGAGAGAGAGACCAGAGAGACCAGAGAAGGAGAGACCAGAGAAGGAGAGACCAGAGAGAGACCAGAGAGAGACCAAAGAGAGAGAGCAGAGAGAGAGACCAGAGCGACCAGAGAAGGAGAAACCAGAGAAAGAGAGACCAAAGAGAGGGACCAGAGAGGGAGACCAGAGAAAGATTCCACCAAACTTATTATGTATGTTAAAGCACCACAGCATTTAAGAATAACAAACGTTTGTCTTGAAAAATAAAAAAAATTGTGAACTAATCCAACAAGAAGATGCTGTCTTTTGAGATCTTCCATGAATACATGTTATATTCTATACAAGAAAAATCCCTGTGAGTCACTAATTGACTCTTTGGTCTTCTCTTTTCCGGAGTGGTCCTCTCTTCATGGTTTTTTAGTTTGTAATTTTGACCTGGGAAATATCATACCAGTTGCCAGGAACCATGTACTCACACGCTTTCCAAATTTGACTGTATTTTCATATATACCACACCTTTTTCACATGGCTTGTCACAAAATTACACTGAGCTAGAAATACAATCATAAATTCAACTTCTCTAATGATATTCATAATAAGATTCATGCTGTAGAACCACTGTTTTATTTTTTGCTTGTTTTGATGAATCGCAACGATGTCAACCATGGGTCTCTAGTAATGTATATGTGTAATGTAGACACGCACAATTCATACACAAGGCAACTCAAAGTAATGTATGTAATGTAGTGTAGTGTGCAAAGCGCTGGTTTTCTGGTTTTGTTATGGCATCCCCAATCAGCTGCTCATTCTTACCGCCACAATAATATAACTTTGATTTTACCGTGTTTACAGTTCAGATGGAGGCTTTCATTGTTCAAAGATATGTAGTGTAATCTATTATTATTCGTTATCCATTCATTTCTAAGTTAACATTTCACATTCAAAACAAGTAATTTTTCTTGAGAATTCTTTGAGGCCAAAATTCACACAAGGTTATGCACAATTGGGAATTTTGGCACGTCAATTTAGGCAACACGGATCAAAAAGTTTTCCTTTATGGAGGCTTTCAAAACATTGGCTCTGGCTTCAGAATAGTCCAAGTCTTGTGTCTATCAGACTTCCACTTTCTCTTAAAGTTATGTGAAGCGACCAGCGTTATGCAACACTTTATCGACAAAGAAAATTAGTAGATTTCCAAATTCTAGATCTTAAATTTTTTAGCTCACAGGACTCATGGTTTTTCATTGTTGCCTTTGTCATGTCACGTCGCACTTCCACGCTTTAGACTTTGTGCTGGCTGCTTATATCTCTTTCACACTTTGATGCTACTTCACTTTGTTTTGGCCTTAGACTGTATATTAAGAATGGACTGACCCAGTGCTGATGTCACCCATACTGTTTGCCCAATGTGGAAGAAGCAGATTTGAACATAAGCTAACTGGAGCCAATTTCCTTATATGGGCATTTGTTCCAATGGCCAGACGTGTTGCTAATATTGTTGCTAAGGCAAGCCGGAGTTCCCCCTGCAAATGAAGGCCTCTGATTGGTCAATCCTTAAATGGCTCAAAACTGGATTTACAAAGACAGTATTAAAAGAATATAAACATTTGGATCATAGAGAGCGCTAAACCACTGTTTTTCTAAGCCCAAAATGGTTACTGATCTAGACAAGTTTACTTTTAAATGTAAGTCAATAGGAGCCACACTGAGAAAAATGAAAAAATGTGCTTAAATAAAGTTGTTTTCTTTTTCTTATTTTGAATACATTCTGACTGTCTTAAAACAAGATTTCACAATGGGACAGAGCCATTTAGTCTTCAATAACTGTTGTTTTATTTTCTCATTCCAAGGGAGACATTCCTTTTATTTATTTTTTTTAGAAGAACATTTTGCTCATCCCAAATCTTGTTTTAAGGCGGTCAGAATATGCTCAATTTAAGATAAAATAAATAAATATGAGCAATTTCTGACTTCTTTGCAATGCAGAGCTATTGGGTGTCATTAAGTCAGCATTGTCCTTTTATATACAGTCTATGGTTTTGGCTGATTCTTTTTCTTTCTAACAATCACTCTTACTTTCTCTGTCCACGTTTTCGTCGCCCTCTTTAACCCCTTCTCACCTGGATTTCCACTAAAAGCACGCAGTCCACTTGACACCTCCATGACTTGCTTGTCCAGTCGAATGTCTATGGAGGACTTGAACACGCAGAGGAGTTCAAGCATGGACTGGCTAAGTGAGTTTCCATAAGCTGATTGCACACTTTTCTAACGTCTTGTCAACAAAAACAAAAACATAAAGGGATGGGACAATTTCTCCTGAGTTAAAATTACCACAAAAAAGTGTCTACATGACTTAGAATCACATAATGCCTTTGTGTCCAATTTAGTTTTATGGATTAAAAAGTGGTACTTAACCTGAGTGATCCTATTTATGTCAAGTTTTTTTTTTCCATTGTGAGATCAATAAAGTCTCTCTTATCTTAAGTTTTGCCGATGGAACAAACAGATGTAATGTAATTATTAAGCAAAATGCAATTATATTCTGATTAGTTTATCAGTTTCATCTTGTTACATTTAACTTTTTGAAGTCATTTGATTGTACTTTGTCAAAACTTTACTTATTCATTCTTGTTGGCTCAATCTTGTGCAGTCGTTGTCCCTTCCCTTCAAACTAACTAACTTAATCCAAATCAAAACGATCCAAAAAAACCAACATTTTCTGTAGAATCGACCTGCGTCATACTGGCTCAGGACACTGGAGGAATGGAAATTTAATCCTAAGTGTTCCAGCTTTTCTGTGATGTTTTCTTGCACTTCTTTGGGGGTAAATAGTAAAAAAAAAAAAAGTGTACACTTTTAGAGACATTAAAAAGCAATAAAAGTGGTTTAGTAGCCTGTTGCTTACATGTATCAGGAGAAGAAGTGTACACACCAGGGACAATACTTTGCACAATGTCAGCGTAACGAGCCGTGGAGCTGTGTTTGGGTGAGTGAAGCCTCCCACCCCCTGTACAGAGATTATTTATTTTTAATGGACACAGTTGTTTACCATTGAAGAATAATAATAGTGTTAAAGTCAAGTGTATTCATATCTTACATTTATAACTCACACAGCCCAGTCACACCCAAATTGGTTTAACAGTAAGGACTCCCAGAATTTTGAAACTACTAGTAACCCCAGAGTTGTCATTTTGACTGTTCCTTTTCAAATCAATGGAATTCTGAGAAATTCCCCCAAAGAATGTTTTGTTTTTCACCAGATTCATTAAAAGAAAGTCATTTATAAGGGTTTACCTTTACTCACTTTTATCAAGTGCTAATACTGTTCATTATAACTCCAACTGAAAGACAGCTAAAAAAGAAGCTAATGCTAATGCTAACGTCTGACAGTGTGTTGCTATGGTAACTATATAAGACAAGATATTCTCAGGTGGAAAGTTAGTTAAAGGTCTATAAAGGTCTATCTATCTATCTATCTAAAGGTAGAACTACTCACATTTCAAAAGTAAAAGATAATTTCATACACAAAAATAAACTAAATAAAAATACAGAAAAATTATACTTCCCAAACTAAAAGCCATCAAATTGACTGCTCTGGTAATTCTAGTATTAAACATTTAAATTAAGCTCAAAATGCCCCCACTATTAAAAGCGCTTTGTGACTCTAGTCTGTGAAAGGCGTTATGTAAATAAAGACTACTTCCTTACTTCTTAAAACTGCAGCCATGATCATTGTATATGTAGGAGATTTCATTCTCTGGATTGGGGTCTGCATGTGGAAATACTGCTACTTCTGTTTTTGTGGGACGACATTCTAAATATTTGTGTATTTTCAATATATTTCTTTCAAGTTATAATTGTGTTTTTTGTCATTCGCACAGACAGCCCCACCACCACACCCCGGAACCTCGCCTCCAGCAGCCTCAATGACATTTCGGACAAACCGGAGAAGGACCAGGTCAGTTCCCACCGCAGTTTCACAAGAGCTCAGTGACATAAAGAATTGTGCATATTTGATAGTAGTAGTAGTAGTAGTAGTAGTGGTAGTAGTAGTAGTAGTAGTGGTAGTAGTCGTGGTAGTGGTAGTGATGGTAGTGGAAGTGGTATTAGTAGTAGTGGACCTCTGAAGCTGTGTAGGGCAGGGTCTGGTTAGTACTGTGATGGGAGACCTCTGGGAACAACAGCTGTCACAGTGGGATGCCTGTAAAGACATTTCACTCACATTGCCTAGAATGAGTGTGGTGTGTACGTGAATGTCAGTGTGCCCCAGGGCAGCTGCGGCTACAGTAGTAATTTATCACCACCGTGAGTGAAAGAATAATGGCATATGAAGCGTCTTTGAGTGTCCTGAGAAGCGCTGTATAAAACCAATGCATTATTATTATATTTTACAAAAAGAAAAAAAAGCAACCAAACTGTGTATATTAAGAATTTTACCGCAAAATTATGCCCAATTTTAGTGCTAAATAACAAGATAAGCCTAATCTCGTCAGATCTGAAGCTAAGCAGGGCAGAGTTTGGTTAGTACTGTGATGGGAGAACACTATAGGGCGACAGTAAGGCATATTACACATTGTCTCTTTAACATTAAGTACGCAGTAACATTCCTTTTCGAAGCCAGTTCCCTCACTGTCGTGTTTCAAATCCAAGTTAAGGTCAGGGTTTGTTTTTACAGTGAAGTAGAAAGTGTTACTCTGTCAATTATTTCTTTTCCTGGACGTTTCCAAAGGTCGCTTTTTCTCACTTCACTGACCGTTTCACATTCTAGCTAGGACTGGGCACACATAACTGTCCTAATGGTCCTGTCTCTGTGTCTGTTTGTCTGGTACTATAATGGGTATTGTAAGGTTAATGTGAGGTCTTTTTGCTTATATGAATGAAGGTACATATTTACATTTATATATTTAAATGGGGGCGGTGTGGATTCATGAACTGCTACTGGGAACAAGTCCAAGCAAACTTTGTGCTGAAGGGCTCTCTCTCTCTCTCCTCATAATTATTCAGTATTTCAGTGTTAAACAGGTTTTTAAATTGAATCCGGGTTGAATCACCCGTCAATAGTTTTTGTTGACTGATTTTTAAAAACGATTATTCAATACAATTCAATGTATTCTTGTACAGCCCCAAATCACAGCAGTGGTTATCTCAGAGGACTTTATAAAAACCATTGATTCGCCAACACAGATCAGATAAGATAAGAAATTCAATGATAAAAAACACATAGAGCCATTGGTCCGTAAGGGGCTAACCAATGTCTATAAAAGTTGATAAATATCCATAAATGTCTTTGAACGTCAACAGCTATTCCTAGTTGTGCTAGAAGAGTTTTAGAATCAGTAGATGAGGGTCTTTTTGGTGAGAAGTATATAATGCTAATAATAATAATGCTACATTGAGTACACACTATATGAAGCTATACCACGGTTTTAAATGTATTCATACTCATAAAAACCAAAAAAAAAAGTACCAAATCCTAAAAATTGATTGAAGTATACAGACGGGATCCAGGATTTAGAGCGACACTTTTACCAATATTTCGACATGAGACAGACGTTTGTATTTGTATGTTCCGATCTCTGGCGTTTCCCTTTGAGGTGCTGTGTGGATTAGACTGAGCCTATGCACACGATAACGCTCACTCACAACTCAATCATTTACGTGCGACAGACCCAGGATCAGCCGCCTTTGATTGGATCTGAGCGAGGGGACAAAGTTTATAGGATTTCTATGATCTGCAGGAGGAATACCGGCAGCGTTTAACACAGACACTACTTTCCGTTTCTACAACATTCATGAGAAAATTGGTCAAACTCCCAATGGGCCAATATCTGTGTGTTCTATATTTTTTGTGTCTTAACTGTCGATTCATCTGTGTTGGCGATTTCAACGGTTTTATAAAGTCCTCTGAGATAACTACTGTTGTAATTTAGGGCTATTCAAGAATAAATTGCCTTGAATTGAGTTTAAGTTTGTTAGATTGTGACCGATGACCGATGCCAAAGCTTTCTCTTAAACCTGGGGAATTATATATCTTTAACCACAAGAAAAATTCATTCATTTCCATGTATTTTTGTTTAGCTCCAAATCTCAACATTGGCAGAGGACCTTACAAAGTTGATTCACCAACAACAGATCAGAGAATAAAACAGTTATAAACATAAGAAATGCAATAATAATCCAATCCACTTTATTTATACAGCACATTTTATAAAACAAGTTTCCAAAGTGCAGCTTTATATGTTAGAAGAAAATATATTTAGTAAAACATGCAGTATGTATGCAGTAAACACAATTAAAATGTAATCAAAACAATATCAGTTAGCCAATTTTAAAATAATAGTAAATATAAAGCATAGGATAACAAACAAGTAGGAGCCATTGGTCCATCGGGAGCGGGAAAACCAATGTCCATAAATGTTGTTAAGTGTCCTGGATCATCACTGTCCTTTGACCCTCCTGCATCGGCAACGAACCACTCAAAAAAATCCAGTAGAAAAGTGTAAAAGAGAGGACCACCCTCACTCAGCCAATCAGCTCTCACAGTGAAGATGCTATGTGTTCTTAATTCTTGCTTCTTCATTATGCTTGTTGGAGATTTTAGATTTGCTTCCTTGTTATGCTAAAGCTAGAGATTGTATGCTTGTTTCTTTGTTATGCTAAAGCTAGAGTACTCCTAAGTGAGAAATCCATCAAGTCCCATGAATTAAATTCGGTTCTTTTGGGATTTCAGCTGAGGAACAAGTTCATGAAGAAGTTGCCCAGAGATGCGGAGGCCTCTAACGTCCTGGTGGGAGAGGTGGACTTTCTGGACGCTCCTTTCGTGGCGTTTGTGCGTCTGCAGCAGGCTGTGATGCTGGGAGCGCTGACCGAGGTGCCTGTCCCTACAAGGTACCACTCAGACCTACAATAAATAACACTTACATGATATATACATGTTTGTACAGCAGAATTTGTACACAATTCGTCTCAAAGTGATTTACAAAAGAATTACAGACATACGATAGGTTGCGTTCATGTATCACAGCATTTCAAAGAGCCTCTATAGTTTAACATTGTGGAGGAGGGCAGTTGAAAAATCCTGGTAACTATGGTAACTGTCACAAGTCAGATATCTAAATTTAGAGCTAATTTATCTGTAATTCCTTGGTCAGCCCACAAAAAACACAAAAACTGTCGGCTGTCACAAAGTTCCATGTCTTCTCTGTCAACACATATCAACCATGGTCTATTTATCTTCTCATAATTGTGTCTTAAGCGGTGACAATATTCATGATGTTGGCCAATAGGAAGGTCTTTCACAAATAAAAATAGTATGGCGAGTTTGGGAATTAAATCACTGTCAAATAATGAACTGGGGAAACGTTTAGACATGGTTTTTTGTTGATTTCTTGCTTCTTTCCCATAGAGTTGTAATGGTACCTGAACACAACCAATGGAAGCATAATATAAGATTTAGTTTTTGCTTAAACTGGTGTAAAATGTTACTTCAAATACAAATATTAAACGTTGCTTATCCAGTGTTTCCTCTGAAACAAACTAAAAATACAATGACATTTTCCCTACAATTAAAACACAGATTAAAATAGATTTTTTTTAATGGTTCCAGTTTTTAAAGTTAGCAAACAACCAAATATCTCAGCTGTATTCCTCAGAAAACCTGTTACCGGGTAGAGTTTAGACCTTTAAAAACATGTTTCTATATAACCATTTATCTCAAATTAGTTTAACAGTTTATTTAGAAATTTTCCATGTGAGTTTTATCCAATCAAGCTCAACATTCACTTTCAATTTTGGTATTTAGGAGTGAGTGGTCGGATTTATGATGAGAAAAAGTTTTATTTTTGTATGTGATCTTGATTTTATGGCTTTGATCCTTTCAGTTGGGTTTGTTTGTTTTCTTCTCTGTATGTATTAACGTGTCTTTCCACGTTTAGGTTTTTATTCATTCTTCTTGGACCAAAGGGAAAAGCCAAGTCGTATCATGAAATTGGACGAGCTATTGCTACGCTAATGTCTGACGAGGTACGTGTGCTAACCGCTAACTGCTAACCGCTAACCGCTATCTTTTACCTGTACAATATGTCTTCCTTTATAAGCCAAATCAAAATTAGACCTAACACCAGAATTAGACAAAGACAAGAACCGGACCAAGACCAGACCAAGACCAGACCAAGACCAGACCAAGACCAAGACCAGACCAAGACCAGATCACCCTAAAAAGAGATCCCTCACACATATCACAGAAAAGTCAGTTTTCTAAAGCAAGTTTTTCTATACAGCTTAAGACTGTTGGGTTCCATTGACATATCTTCAAACTATACTCAAATCAAAACACATTTTCACAAATTTGACAGATTTTTTTCTCGTGTTTAGTCCATTTCTTGTTTGCGATTTTTTTTATTGTGACCATGAAAATTGCGATTGCGAATAATGGTGCAGCCCTGACTGTCATTATTATGTGATATTTTATCCATTGATGATCAGGTACAGGTTTTCTTTGACTTCCCCTTTCTCCCCTTGAGCTGCCGATGCGGACTAGGGACTTATTCACGTTCCGATGCCTCCACTTTGTGCAGATCTTCCATGACATTGCGTACAAGGCCAAGGACAGGGGAGATCTTTTGGCCGGTATCGACGAGTTCTTGGATGAAGTCATCGTGCTTCCCCCTGGAGAGTGGGACCCGACCATCCGGATAGAGCCCCCAAAGAGCCTCCCCTCCTCCGACAAAAGGTTAGTCTAATGAAAAATCCATATCCTTAAAGCACATTTAATTTTCTTCATATTTACCAACTTCAACTTGTATTCTGATTTATTTGTATTTCTCTGCATTCAAGGAGCAATTTCTCCAATAATCCAAATCTTCCCATTGAGAAAAAAATGTGGGGCTGTAAATCAGTATGCACCAGAGGTTGAATATTAAGCCAAAAGCACTTGTTCTAACACCTCTACAAGGGTAAAAGGTGAATGTTATGACCCAGCTCAGCTCGGGTGAGGGAGGTAAATGGTAAAAAGAAGTCATTTAATATACAAGCATGTAAATGGTTAGTAGACACAAACAAATGGGTACAATACAAAAGGACATACGGAGGTAACAAAGGCCTAGCTTGAAGTTCTAAAATTTCAGGCCAAAGAAAGACTAAGGCCCTGTTTAGACGTAGACGCTGCAAAGCAATTGGCAAAAACGACCAGGCTCCGTATTCAAAGTGATAAGCGTCTACACGGCAACGGAAAAAAAAATGTAGTTCTAGCGCCAGGCCTGTAGTGGGCAGTGGAACTTTACAACACGACATGCACAACCCCCCAGCAGTATATTCACCTCCTCAACAACATCCTCCTCGGGCCACCGCAAAGATGTGAAAGAATCATTCTGCATTTAACGGCAGCTGCGAAAATGGAAACTGAAACTAGAGCTTTGCGTGGTTTCGTTTTGATGAACAAAGTAGTAAAATTCTCTTCCGTGTAGCGCTCGAAGCACACGTAGTATCAGTTGACCCGCCGCCATGGTTGGTTACGTTTGTTCTCGGCTACTGCTCATGTCCTAATGTACGTGCGGGGAAGTGTTGAGGTCATAGCAGGCAGAAATACTGTAATAATAAGTTAAAACATATGGAATTCTCTGTTGAAATATATGTGTTTAATCTCAATTTGTGAACGATAGCTACAATAATAGCAAGATAAGCTTTAAGTGTAATGTAAACATTGAAGGGGAAATAGTCAAATTAAAGCAGTGGTTCGATTACAACAAATTATTTCTAAACTGGGATTAAATTTGTTATATGATTTTTGGGAAAAAGAACCCACAATTATCAGTCCAATTAATTATTGATAATGTAAACATTGAGCGTGTTTCAGAAGTCAAATTTTTGGGGGTAATCCTTGATAACAATCTCTGTTGGAAGTCACATATTGACTACATCAGAAAAAAGTAAGTAAAAGTATTGGCATATTGTATAAGGTCAGACATACTCTGGACAAGGCTCCATTGATGTTGTTATATACAACTTTAATTGTTCCTTATTTTACCTATTGCATCGAGGTTTGGGGAAATGCTAGTGTTATGGCCACAGAAAAGTTATATCTACTTCAAAAGAAAGCCGTAAGAATCATCTGCCACAAAGGCCCTAGAGACCACACAAATAATCTCTTCACACAGTTACAACTCTTGAAATTCAAAGATCTTGTTCACTTCAAAATTACTCAAACAATGTGGAGGGTGAAGAACAAGTTGGTGCCAGTGCACATCCATAATAAATTATTTTTAATAATTAGTAGTAACAGAAGAAAAGGACATTTTTGTGTGCCTTTTTCACGCACCACTTTGAAACAGAAAGGTCCTTGCAGCAGGTATTAAGCTTTGGAACTCTCTTGATCCTTGTGAACAATCCTGTAACACCATTGTACAGTTGAAGAAAATGTATAACAAAAAAGTACTTGCAAATTATGGTAAATGATTGGTTGTTCAAAAATCCTACAAAATAGAGGTAAACACAATAAAATCAACAATAACTACAGCAAAGTGTAAGATTGTTATGTGTAAAGGAAAAAAAAATATATAAAAATAAAATAATAATAATGATAATAAACATATAAAGGCGTGCCATCCCATTTTTAATCTGTCAACTAAATACTGTGTTAAGGGGCATGAAACATAAGACTTTGTCTTCCACATGCTCCTATTCAGCAACATGTAATGGAATTGAACTATTTGTGTTCTTATTATTTTCATTATGATTGTAATAATGTCATGGCTGAATAAATAAAAAAATTATAAAAAAAATGTGTCAGCAACCAGCGTCAACTTAAACATAAAGATCAAAATATATATTACCTTTCTTTTCAGATTGATAAAATATAAATCTGAAAAGAAAGGTATCTATTTATCTATCTATCTATCTACCTGGATTGGCACTATAGATGTACTTCACACATTGTCCTTTAGCAGAAAAATACCAATAAGACGGCAAAGAATAGACTAATAACTTAATAACTTGATTAATTCTATACTTTCACAAAGTCCCTGCTGCGGCATCAGTGACTGCAGTTCTAAACCACATGCATCAGTCCTCGCTCAGAACGCTGATCTGGCAGAACACTGGCCTCTCCGCTGCTTCAGGTGGATACAGCAGCTCCTTGCATAAAACCTGCCTCAGATGTCAAGGTCTGCCACTGTCGAGTCATGTCAATGGTAAAAAGCTGGGTTACCTTTATTTGCTTTGCTAAATAATACTCTCTGTTTGTCTCAATAGGATGAGTCTCATAAAAGTTTAATATTGTGAACAAATTGGACCAAAACAAGCTGTCTTTAACTCATTAGAAAACATGTTAACTTTTGTATACCTGTAAGAAAGATCCCTGTGAGTCACTAGTTGACGCTTTGGGCGGAGAGCTGATTGGCTGAGTGAGGTTGGTCCTCTCTTTTTCCCGTTTCTGTCTAAAAAAGCTGTTCTAAAGATTGACACAGGGCCAGAAACACGTTAGTAATTGAACCAATCTCTTTTGAGAGCGAGGAACAAGTTAGAATTGTATGACATAGTTATATCTTTTGTGGTTTCAAAGTTAGACACCCCAGCTTTAAAAAGTTAGTAACGTTTTTTTTTAACCCTGAATCCCAAACAGACAGAATCCCATCTGTTTGTCAATGTAATACATGGAAAAAAACACAGACATACATTTTCAAGCCCTTTATTGTCCATTTCTGGGTCAGGGGGGTGGCAATGAGAGCTGCCACCCAATGCTCATAGCACCAGTCCCTCGCTGATCTTCTGCAGGGGGTGAGTCCACAGGAAGATGGCTGCTCCGTCAGCGTTGAAACAGCCTTGGTCTTTCAGCGGGGGCTTCAGGCAACGTGGGGTTAGGTGTCTTGCCCAAGGACACAACGACAGTAGACATCAGTGGGAGCAGTTGGAGTAGGTCCCATGGTGGGAATCGAACTCACGATTCCAGGCTCAAAGGCCACTGCTCTACCAACTGAGCTACTGTTGCCCAACACAGACATACATACATTCATAAATACTAATACAAATAAAATATGTCTTGAGTGTTGGAAATCACTTTGTGTTTCTTCGGTTGTAGGAAGAACATGTACTCAGGTGGGGCGGGCGGAGGAGGGGGTCCACAGATGAACGGAGACATGCCCCATGACGGGGGCCACGGAGGAGGACACGAGGTCGGAGACGAGCTCAAGAAGACCGGAAGGTAAAGAGTAGAACAACACCCAGAGAAGAGATCAAGCTCCTAGTCCTCAGTGCGTCACATTGGATTCATTCAATTCAATTCAATGTATTCTCGTATAGCCCTAAATCACAACAGTAGTTATCTCAAAAGGACTTAACAAAACCATTGATTCGCAGAGAATCAGTTACAGTAGCTCTAACATGTGGAGTGTCCTGGAGCATCACCACTGTTCTTTGCCTTCCTGCATCGGCAAGGAAAAACAAGGAACCTCAGGAGGCCCACTTTGAGGCAGAGGGATCCGCAAACATGGCCCGACGGGTTATACTGTAGATCCAGGCTGTTGAACGAGGGCTGAGGAAACGCAATGCAGGACTCGGGGTGCAGCCCACGAGTCCAGGCCAGGGAAGATAGTCCACAGATTCTGATGGAGGAGGTCGGGCCATATTCACAGGGGAGAATAAAAGTGGGCCAGTGCAGTGCAAGTAGATATTAGTATAGTATATTAGTACAGTATGTATTATGAGTAATTGAAGAGAACACTGCCACGGTTACCGAGGCGACTAACTGGAACAATCCATCAGTGTTAGTGTTGTACCTGCAGATGTCTCCAAAACAAACGCTCTAGATCCACCACAGTTGTCTTGTCAGTTGGCAATTAAACACCCTCCTCCAGGCTCCCTATCGCCTCCTGCTGTAAGCACTTTGTAACTCAGCCATTCCCAAACTCAGTAACACCGAGGCCCCCTTAAAAATCTGACGGGTCTGCGTGGCCCCCCAAAATAATAACTAAGAAGACAACATTAAGAATAGGCTCTTCTGGTTATTTTATTTTGGGGAAATAGCCTCTGCTACAAACATTGTAATACAAAAATGATTACAGTGGATTATTCAAGTCAAATAATGAACACAAATATTTTAATATTACAAACAAAACATTATACATTTAACATTAAATAATGATATAATTTTTTTTATGACCTCCCGCGGCCCCCCTGCAGTACCCTCGCGGCCCACCAGGGGGCCGCGGACCCCACTTTGGGAGACACTGTTGTAACTTCTTCCAACTTGGAAATAGAGCACTTGTCTATTTCTCACATTTTTCACACTGTTTTTCTATTTGGGCTGTTCCTTGATGCTGCAGGAGGGTCTAAGGGCAGTTATGATCCAGGACATTTAAGGACATGTATGGACAATCATTAACATTCATGGATGTTGGTCATCCGCCCCTCACGGACCAATGCCTCTATGTGTCTTTAATTCTTGCATTTTGGCAAACCGACAACTTTGTAAAGTCCTCCGAGAAAACTTCTGTTGTTATTTAGGGTTACTCGCAGCCTGCGCAGTGAGTTCCTGTGTGAACTCCGCGTTCCCTTGTATGCAGTTTGGGTGATGCACGTCGAGTCCCCGCAGCTCTATTCTCCCCAAACACACTGTCCGTCCATAAACACGATCCCCAAAAGAGACGACTGACCTCTTGTGTTTGCAGGTTTTGCGGTGGCCTCATACTCGATATCAAAAGAAAAGCGCCTTTCTTTCTCAGCGATTTCACAGACGGCTTCAACATTCAGGCCCTGTCAGCCATTATATTCATTTATTTGGGAACCGTGACCAACGCCATCACCTTCGGGGGTCTCCTGGGGGATGCAACCAACAACATGCAGGTATTATTCCAATCTCGAAAGCCTGCGGTTCTCCACACACAGACTTTTCCACCAATGATTAAATAAAAAGTGTTGCTTGTGTTTCAGGGAGTCCTTGAGAGCTTTCTGGGCACTGCCATCAGCGGTGGAGTCTTCTGCTTGTTGGCCGGACAACCTCTTACTATTCTGAGCAGCACCGGGCCAGTTCTAGTGTTCGAGCGGCTTCTCTACAAGTTCAGCCAGTACGAGCCAGCACAAACTGTTCACGCCGCACACAAAAGAACCTTTCTGCATCAGTCCGCAGCCAGATTGATTCAAACAAGTTCTGGCTAAAACCAATAAGAATAGATACACGCCTGGGAATATTGTTACGTGGGATTTGGTTTTTGTGCAGTAGAAGCTCTTCTTTAAGATTGAGATTAAGAGATCATTTATTTGTCGTACAGTGGGGAGATTTCAGTGTTGCATCAGCAGTTAAGGAACAGTAGGAATGAGGAGCACACAGCATAATCTATACTACCACTACACACTCTATACTAAAATGAAATGAAATATCTTACTTTAGCATACTAAAGGAGCAATACAGAATTTCTAATTTTAGGATAACAATTACAATAATTTACAACAGCATTGGTGTCTTTAAATTGTAATCAACTTCCCGTGTCTCAGAAAAAAGTACATTATAAACAGCAAGAAAAGATATGGAAAGAGTATTGTTTTCTGAATTTGGATGCAGCCATAGTCCTGGGTCTTCCCTTTGGTCTCCTTCGGTTAAACAGACCCATAGAGAGTTGTGCAGTGCATTGTAAGTAAAATATGTTAACAATGCAATTTGAAGTGCACTTATTAAGACAAAAAACAATTAAAATCAACCACAAAAATACATCCAAATCTAAGGTTGGATGTGAGATTTTAATTCAAATGAAAAATATTACTCTTGTTGACTACAGCGCTACATCAAACATTTCTCACAACAGAAATAGAATTGGCGGTTGATGGTTTTGTGTTTTCCTCAGAGATAACTCGTTCGACTACCTGGAGTTCCGGCTGTGGATCGGTCTCTGGTCGGCGTTCTTCTGTTTCGCCCTGGTGGCCACAGACGCCAGCTTCCTGGTGCAGTATTTCACCCGCTTCACCGAGGAGGGGTTCGCCAGTCTCATCAGCTTCATCTTCATCTACGACGCCTTCAAGAAGATGATCAAGTTGGGACACCGCTACCCGATCAACCCCGAATTTAGATTTGAATATGTCACGCACTACGACTGCGCGTGCATGGCTCCTATAGTGATGGGTAACAAAAACAACACAAATAGATTTTAACACCTGTTCAACACAACACAACTAAACATGTCAATACTAAAGCAATACAGTGGAACAGTAACACAATACTATATCAAATGGGGATAGTGAGACAAGACTTCCTGATCTCAATTGCTTATCGAGAGGGGATTGAAATCAGGAAGCGGGGCGCACGAACTATCAACAGATAACACCCGGTAACAACAGCTGATAAGAGACGTGTCACGCCATCATGTGTCAGCTCTGACGGAGGTGGAAGAAACGGGTGGTAAATAAGCAGTACTAGAGAAGAGAATGACACACGAGGCGGGGGTCTGGGGTCGTGTTCAGGCACAGATGACCTTTTATTGAGGTTACAAAGAGACACGACCAAAAATTTGCTGCGTGCATGTGATTTTATACCATAAAGGAATCATAGACAGTCCAATCAGCAGCTGCCACGGCACCAGTAGCTTCGGCCTTCAGATAACCGAAACATTTAAGTGGAAATCACCGCATTGTTAGAGTAACAAGCTGAGGTTTGACTAAAATTGCTTAAAAAGTGTTTGAAGAGATCCAAACTAGCTTCTTTACATTAGTCTTTTCATAAGAACCTTCTAAGCGGTAAACATAAAGAGACATAATGAACCCTCAGTTCATTATGTCTCTTATGTACATAACATTTTAAAAAGTTATGTACCCCAGCTTTAACCTCAACATATTTGTTTCCCCAGAGAACAGAACAAACGTGCTCGGTTCGGAAAGTCTGGATGGATCTTCAATGTGGATCCTGAATGGAACAGAACTGGTGAGTTTTCTACAATCATCATATTCTATTCATACCGCAATCACCACAATAAACCTGTTTTTCCCCCCTTCCTGATTGTGATTTCTCTGCTCAGCCAATGAACAGCACCTGGTCGACTCTGACGCGGAGTGAGTGTCTGAAGTACAAGGGGGAGCTGGTGGGAGAGTCCTGCGATTTCGTCCCGGACGTCACCCTCATGTCCTTTATCCTGTTCTTCGGGACCTACACCACCTCCATGTGTCTAAAGAAGTTTAAGACCAGCCAGTTCTTCCCCACGACGGTGAGTCTGCGGTCTCCTCATGCGGCTTTTCATAGTGATCAGGCTTGAAAGTTTATACTCCCTGGTAGAAATGTTGATTTGTCTTGAGAAAAGACATCTCACCAAACGCCTCTATATGTGTCTTCTGCAGGTGAGGAAACTGATTAGTGACTTCGCCATCATCCTGGCCATCCTCATCTTCTGTGGCGTGGACATGCTGGTCGGAGTGGAGACTCCCAAACTCATTGTGCCAAGTGAATTTAAGGTCAGCCTGAGCGTCTCCCTGGTCTCTCTCTGATTTCTCTATCTGCACTCTCTCTGGTCTCTTTGACCTCTCTCTGATCTCTGGTCTCTCTCTGATTTCTCTATCTGCCCTCTCCATAGACTGTAAATATTAATGGACGTAGTCACGCCGATCTCCGCCGTTCAAACTAATGTGCCAAAAATTGTGCTCTACTGGAGCTATCCAAAATGGCCGCGAGTGGTCCCGCCCACTAGAAAATGTGCGCATGCGTCAGCCGGCACAAGCTCCATTCATTAAACGAGTGCCTTGAAAAATTCACAGCAAGTAAACCAAAGTGGTCCAAAAGAATTCACCCCCCTCAGCATTGACACACATGTGGAACGGAGCTTTGGGCCAAGAGCCAACTTTTGGACCATCCTGTAAAGGTGTTTTCGAGAGGTAAGAAGAATCTATATGTTTGCATTAGCTAATTCTCATTCCGGGTCCACCCCCATCGGCCCGGGGTGGTATTGGAAGCATGTCAGCGCACATCATTTTGGCCACTTTTGAGCTGGGACCCGCCCCCACTGGCCCTCTCTCTGCTCTCTGGTCTCTCTCTGCTCTCTGGTCTCTCTCTCTGGTCTCTCTCTGGTCTCTCTCTGGTCTCTCTCTGGTCTCTCTCTGGTCTCTCTCTTGTCTCTCTCTCTGGTCTCTCTCTGATCTCTCAGTCTCTCTCTCTGGAGGAGGAGGGTCTGCTATGTTATCGTACATTGATGAATTAGTATGGGTGGGGGGAGGGGTGAAGACAAGAGTTTTAATTGTTTAGGGCAGTCCAAATTCGATCCAAAAACCATAACAAGTGAATGTTTTGATTCCCAGCCAACCAACCCGAGTCGAGGCTGGTTCGTGCCCTTGTTCGGGGGTAACCCTTGGTGGGTGTACCTGGCCTCTGCCCTGCCGGCTCTCCTGGTCACCATCCTCCTCTTCATGGACCAGCAGATCACCGCAGTCATCATCAACAGGAAGGAGCACAAGCTCAAGGTAAGTCACGCCACAAATAAAAAAAAAAATGGTACTTTTTGTTTTGTTTTGGCACTTGCAACATGATCTTGAGTATCGTAACTTTCCACTGATCAATGTAGCAGCGGAGCTAGAAATATGGGTCAAACTCCGAACAGGGACAATATCATTTACCTTAAAGTAGACATATTCAGATTCAGAAAACGTTATTAATCCCAGAGGGTAATTCATTCGCAGCAGAATCTCAAGCTGATTACACAGACTCAAACACACATATGAAGCAAAATCGACTTATTTGAGCTTTTAACCAAGTTACCACACTTTTTCTCATCAAATACAGACCTGTGTTTAGATCCATCCACGTTAATATCAGGAACTTCTTGCACAAACATTTAACTCTGCCCCTTCTCTCCAAAATGTCCTGTCTCAGTCCTGTAAAACAAAAGTATTGTACATAAATTAGTTTTGTTAATTTTCAAGTTAAATTGTACTCTTTACAATTACATATCTGTGTTTGCAGCTGGTAATTTTTGAATAATGAAAAAAAAAAAAATCAAACAAATTCAACTCTTCCCTCTTGTGGTAACATAGGGAGTTACAGGCGAGTGCAATCTGATGACAGAAATGGTCAGAACTAATTTATAGATTTGTTTAAAAAGGTGGACGAGATCTCTACAGCTCTGTCTAGTTCGGTCGCCAATACCAGTGCATGTAGATTTTTTGTTTTATTTGAACAAAACAGCATAAACTCTGGCATAAAAGCAAGAAGTAGAGACATAATGCAATCCAGTTTAACCCAATTATATCCTAGTTTCAACCAAGAAGCCTTATTTTAGACCTGGTTTAGATATGATAGAACTAGGTCTGAAGCCTTTGGTAAAATGTCCCACCAATAAGTTATTATATTTGAAAATCCTTTCGTTTCACCTTTGGTTTGCTTCCTACTGGTTCCTGCTCTGGCTGGTTTTGACAGAGCAGCTCAGGTTGGACTTTTAGTTTGATCATTTCTGAGAGCCATAACGGGGAGATGTCTGTACATTACAGACGGCACTAGTCCCAAATTCTCACACTGTAGTTAAATATATTTGTCATTCTTCTCACACCGGTGCCAGATGTTTCATGGATCTGACTGCATGGAAAGACAGGAGCAGAACTCAAACTATTCCACCAACGACTGACCGCAAACTTATACAGACTTTTATGATGAATTAGATACTGACCTGTCCTGAACATTTCTCTGTCGTGGAATACTCTTTTGCGGAACCGAAAATGACAAAATTCAATGTCACGAATTTGATAGTATATATACAGTATTTAAGTGTGGGAGCCATTTTTGAGTCTTATAGGGGAATTCTCATTTACTCTCTACATCAGGGGTGTCAAACTCATTTTGGGCTGAGCAAAAAAAATTTAAGACCTGGTTGAGAGCTGAAAGTTTTATTTTATTTTGATAACTTTGATACATTAGTTGGATTTGATATTTTTTCAAGTAGATTTGTCTGAACAAATTGAATTTAGTTTCTGTGGATTGAATCAAAACTGGACCAAATATCAGGAGATCAAAAAACATATTATAATATATTATATTAGAACAATAAAACTTCTAATTACAAGTTGTCTTAACCTTTACAAAAACATGAAAAATATGGTTGTTTTCTTTGATCTAAAAAGAGGTATAACCTGCTATTGTAGCCAAATACCATTAATACTGCAACTTAAATAATAATTTAAAATAATTTCAAGAAATGGTCTTGGGCGCTAGATTTGGCTCGCAGGCCTTGAGTTTGTCTGCTCTACATTTGTCCCTGACCACTCGTGTCATCCTTCCCCATATCTGACTGACATGAGTCGTGTGAGATGGAACAAACCAGTGCTGGCTCTTTGGGCGCCAGGTTGTGGAAATCTCCAAATTTGGCTCAAGATGTTACCACTCGTCGAGCCTGTTCCGCGATTTATTGATTGTTAATTTTGTGTTTTCTAACTGGACTTGCACCCCAGGTTGGTAAACACTGGTGTAAATGAGTGTGTGTGTGTGTGATGGCAGAAAGGTGCTGGCTATCACCTGGACCTGTTCTGGGTGGCGCTGCTCCTGGCCGTGTGCTCGTTCATGGGTCTGCCGTGGTACGTGGCGGCGACGGTCATCTCCATCGCTCACATCGACAGCCTGAAGATGGAGACGGAGACCTCTGCGCCCGGAGAGCAGCCCAAGTTCCTCGGCGTCAGGTACGATTCTGTCACCGAGCAGAATGTGAAGAACGCCACAACTCCCAGAGCAGTCGATTTGACAGCTATTAGTCAATTTTGTCAATGTCAGCTTTTTTTGTACAGCACATTTACATCTACACCAGCTGCCCAAAGTGCTGCACACGTACAAAAGAAAAGAAAACATCCTTAAATACACACAAATACATGTAGTGTAAGTGTAAATGTACATTGTTAGTATTATTACTATTTTTGGTATTTAGGTATGAAATTATCTTTTACTGAAATGTTAGCAAATCTATCTTTACCTCCTTTCATTTAGCCTTTGCAGTCACTTGGCTAAAATCATTATTTGACTGATTAGATTTACAAACCTGTTTTTATTATTCCAATGTAGGAAAGTCCTGTCTCCTGACCAGCATCAGGCTCTTGTTTTTGAATATTGTCACCACTTCTAGACACCTTTTATGAAGAAAATAATTAGACCATATTTAATATTTACAGTTGATAAATGTGGAACTTTGTATTTTGTGCATCAACCCAAAGTAAAACCAAAACTGTCACAGAGAAATAATTCCCAGGACAAATCTTTCATCTGTCCTAAATCATTTTTGGAGTGTTGTGATGTCACATGAACACAAACTATTCAAAGATGAATGGAGTAATTGAAACTGCTGTGGTGGGGGCAGGAAGGGGGAACATGTCTTCAGAAACCTTGCTCCTCATTGGCTCTTTGGTTGCCGTGAGACACACTCAGACTTCCAAATATGAAACTCGGTCACAAATAATCTACTATAACTTCTCTCGTCAATCGGTTTCATTGTGTTTTAGATGAATATTTCTTTGAGTTTTCCCACTTACAGCTGTAGTCATAGAACTTTGAGTTGATTTGATTTTAACAGAAAGCACTGTACCCACACACATGGGCAACAAGAGAATGAAGGACAAAACAAAGAAAAAGCTACGTTTAGGTACACAAGGTATTATTGTACAACTTTATTAAAAAAGGGTTTGGCTCAAAAAGGAGTGGTATACTTTATATACTTTTCATATGAATAATACATATGCTACAATGCAATGTCATAATATTGGAAACAGTTTATCTGACTCAAAAATGCAGACCATACAAGCCTCTAATGAAAAAAGCAGATTTTCTACTCCTTGTTTTGAAGATTAAGATTAAAGATTTAACTTTAATGTGTGGTTCTTGTTGTTTGCAGAGAGCAGCGAGTGACCGGTGTGTGTGTGTTCATCCTGACGGGGCTGTCTGTGTTCATGTCTCCCATTCTGAAGGTACGACTTTTTGAATTCTAAATAATTATGTAGTAAAAGTTATGACCCTGTCTAGAAAAAAAGCATTCAACATCATTATCATCATATTTGTTATTAGGAAGTTCTCATATCTATTGTATTTCTTGTCGTAAATTCATCTTAAAATGTAATAACTTCTGATTCTTCTTCTTCAAATCAAAACAAAAGTAATTTTATAATCCTTTCCTTCACAGTTCATCCCGATGCCTGTGCTGTACGGAGTCTTCCTGTACATGGGAGTCGCTTCACTCAATGGAGTTCAGGTAATTTCCTCTTTGTTTTTGAACCAACAACTTGATTTTTGTGGTCCTTCTCCTCACCTACAAGTCCCTCCATAACCTGGCCCCGCCCTACCTTACTGAGCTCCTGCATCACCAACCCACCCTCTGCCTTCGCTCAGCCGACTCCAGCCGTCTCACTCCCATCACCCGCACTAACCGCCAGATCTTGGGGGACAGAGTCTTTGCCATTTCCGCCCCAAGACACTGGAACTCACTCCCACTGCCCATTAGAAACTCGGACTCACTACCAAACTTTAAATCAGTCTCAAAACCCATCTTTTCAAACAAGCTTTTCTGTAACCCCCCCAAAAAGTGCTATACAAGTTTGATGTATTATTATTATTATTATTGATTTCAATATGTTTATCCTGTCCTCAAAGATAATCATGAAGGATCCTTTATTTAATTTTGAACTGGTTAGACTTGTGTTACATCCACACAAAGTCAGAACACTTTAAACACAGAGTCAGCTCAGTAAATGTTTGGGTCCACATGAATCAAGTCCATTTGCTTCAGATATTTACAAAGACAAAAAGTGAATGTACAGTGTAGGGCTGCAAGATATATCAAAAAAATATCATTATCGCGATATTGGTACGTGCGATATCCATATAAACAAGCCATATAAAAAATATGCGCGATATTTTTATTTTTTTATTTTTTTAACAATAACAAAACAGACAGACACCTCAACATTCAACAAGAACAACAAACAAACTAAGAAAAAAGTAAATAAATATACGCATTTGAAGGTCATTATTGTTTATTTATTTATTTTATTTAGACTTTATTAAGGACTCACATGCAAGCACAGGATCCATACCTAAGAATAATGAAAGAAAAGATGTTCTTATTTTTTGTTATTTGTCTCTTGCGTTTCAATGCAAGACAAAAATTAGTCCCTCCCCAATTCCAGAATCAATGATTCATGTGTTAAACTTCACTGCTATTTTGTACAAGGATTATTTAATGTGCAAAGGTTCATGTTGTGTAAAAATCCACTTGATCAAACCTCTTTTATAAATCAGACCAAAGTAGTAATGTGTGTAAATTGTAATCTCTGTAATGGTTCCTGTTGTGGTTGTGGTCAGTTCATGGACCGCCTGAAGCTGCTGCTGATGCCGGCGAAGCACCAGCCGGACCTGGTCTACCTGCGGCACGTCCCCCTGAGGAAGGTGCACCTGTTCACCTTCATCCAGGTGCTGTGTCTGGCTCTGCTCTGGATCCTCAAGTCCACGGTGGCCGCCATCGTGTTCCCCGTCATGGTGAGACCCGCTGACCAGAATCTGTGAGGGAAACTAACCATAATACTATCATATCTTTAACCATACGTTTAAAAAAGGGCTTTCTGAGGATGAGTCGTTTTGAGATGGACGGCAAGATGCAACTACACAACTGTAATCAACCATTTTCTAAAACAAAATATCTCAAATAGCATCCTTATATTAACATATTTGTTTATTGTGATTTTTCTTTTGAGTTTCTTGCTTCAGCCTACTCCTTTTGAGTCGTAAAGTGGTCCCAACACAGGAATGTAATCAGCTCACAGACATTCAAATTAATTAATGAAAATATAGAATACATTAATGAATACATTAATGAATACAAAAATAGATAAATAAATAGATGAATAGGTAAATAAATAAAATGGTGTAAAGCTGGGGTACGTAACTTTCAAACCACAAGACATTGAACTACTGTATGTATTAAAATGCTGTTAGATCCAAACTGTCTGATAGAGAAAATAGTTTATCACTAGTTTTCACATCTGTGTATTTTTGGCCTCTCTCTCATTTTCAGGTCATAATTTTTAGACAGAAAAGTGAAAATGAGAGAACCATCCTCGCTCAGCCAGACCAAAGTGTCAAATAGTAACTCACAGACTCTTTCTTACAAATATGCAAAATGAATACAGCATGTTGTGGCCGGATTTGTTCACAAACTTTTTTAAAGACTCTTTACGTTGGAAAGAAAAAAACTATTATGCTTAAAGGAGCTATACCTGTTTCTGTAAGGTTTTAATGTTTAGCACCGCCCCTCAACCAGCTCACAGACTTCTCATTTCCCCTACGCTCTCATCTCACGGAGCCATCTAGTTTAATTTGAGATCTGATACAAATGCAAACATTAGCATGAGCGCAACTCCTTGTAAGATGTTCAACAATCACTGATGAAATGGTACAAAAGCAACGCACTGCTGACCAAATATATAACTGAAAGATTACCGCTAGTTTTGCATCCAAATGTAGTCCAAGCATACAGCAGATAGTCCGAGCAGATAGTCCGAGCATAGATAGTCCGAGCATAGATAGTCCGAGCACAGATAGTCCGAGCAGATAGTCCAAGCATAGATAGTCCGAGCAGATAGTCCGAGCATAGATAGTCCGAGCAGATAGTCCGAGCATAGATAGTCCGAGCATAGATAGTCCGAGCATAGATAGTCCGAGCACAGATAGTCCGAGCAGATAGTCCGAGCATAGATAGTCCGAGCAGATAGTCCGAGCATAGATAATCCGAGGCGGTCTTCTTTGATAATTTTTCCGCTTTAGTTCCCTCTTCTCTTCCTCACTGTTGTGTCGTTTGGGCTGTTTTGCTGTGTCTGCAGTTACAGCAGGAGCAGTTAGAGCCAATTCTGCTAACATGCTACTGTGTTTAGCAGCGCTGTAGAGGCTAGAGGACCAGTGATGGGAATAACGGCGTTACTTTTTTCAGTAACGAGTAATCTAACTAATTACTTTGACAGTAACTATAACGCCGTTATCATTTCCGACATCCCGTTACTGCGCGTTACTCAAGACGCACAATGAACGTGTTGTCATGAGAGAAGGGAGGATGAGAAAACCTCTCAGCAATTATTGGCTGATGTAAATCATATTTCCTTTACAATCCACTTGTCTACAGTTGAGAGGATGGCTCATAAATTGTGTTTTTGAAACAAATATGGGTCTTAATCGCGCTCAACCACGGCTTGTATCACCGTGAGGTCAGCCACAGAGTAGCGCATGTGAGCGCAGAAGTCGGCTGCATACAATTCCATCGATAATCAATCAATCAATCAACGTTTATTTATAGAGCGCCTTTCCTACACAAGGCAACGCAAAGCGCCTCACAACCCATATAACATCATGCATAAATCATCAAACATTAGAATTTAAGTAAACATAAAAAGACAGATTAAGAGCACAAGATATATAAAATCACATAAGTAGTTAAAAACCGTAAAAAATTAAAATCACACAAGGGATTACAATCATAAATAATCATAAATAATCATAGCGCATTAAAAAGATTAAAGATAAAAACAAATGTAAAATCATTCACTTGTATGCACAGCTAAAAAGAACTGTTTTCAGTTCAGTTTTAAAAACTGCCAGAGTAGACGCCTGTCTCACACTCTCCTTGCTCCTTGCTCTTCCTTGCTCCTTGCTCTTCCTGGTTTATCTGCTAAGGACAGCAACAGGTTTGGCTAACATACATATAACACTTTTTTACATAATCTAAAATGCACATAGGGTAATTTTTCAATTACTATAGGAATGATAAGAAAGAGAGGTGAAGTGTAAGACGGTTGATTTTAGAAATTGGATGCACTCGGCTGCCGCTAGCAAAACACAGGAGTTTATGGAGGAGATACGCGTTTTGTTTTACTTTTTAAAACTCATTGGACTCATTTCCAAATGGAGGATTACATATCTACGCTCAAACCATTAACTGGATTTAAACAAGGAACTGGTCTGAACCGAAGTGGACTGTGCAGGTCATTTATAAAGTATAGCTATAAGGTAAGACCCATAACTCATAGTTTTGCGTTTTGTATGAACAAACAATGCGGGCATAAAACATATTTTGCTGTAGCCAAACAAATTGTCCACTTGATTTATATGATGTATATGTTCATCTGATTGGACTGAAGTCAGTGCTTCACCGGTGTTTCCACATTCACAGTGGAGCGTGTTGTGTTTAGTGCTTACAGCACAGTGAGAGATGAAGAGTGAACAGGACTTCAGCAGAAAAACAGCCTTTTCTAGATGGAAATATTGGCACTGTTAAAGGTAAAAATGCGCACGTCGGGTGCACATTATGTTCCAGAACAAAACGAAAAAGTAACGCAATAGTTACTTTTACTGGTAAAAGTAGTAGGTAGTGGAGTAACTCCGTTAGTAACTCAGTTACTTTTTGGGAGAAGTAACTAGTAACTATAACTAATTACTTTTTCAAAGTAACGTGCCCAACACTGTTGAGGACGCAGCCTCGTTCTGTGATTGGAGGAGAGCGGAGCGTCACGCTAAAGTCTCTACTCAGTACTTTTATACTTCCTGAATTCATACACAAGCTGAATCAATGAGCTCAAGTTTTCAATTCAATTACGGATTATAATACAACTTGTACAGTGCCTTGCGAAAGTATTTGGCCCCCTTGAACCTTTCAACATTTCGCCACAATCGTGAAGTGGAACAAAATTTATTGGATAATTTAAACTTTTTTAACAAATAAAAAACTGAAAAGTGGGGCGTGCAATATTATTCGGCCCCCTTGCGCTAATACTTTGTAGCGCCACCAGATACAGAACCTACTGTTCTGTATCTGGTGATGCAACACTGACATTTCCCCACTGTGGGACGAATAAAGGCAAGGCAAGGCAAGTTTATTTGTATAGCACAATTCATACACAAGGCAACTCAAAGTGCTGAACCAAAATAAGAAAGCATTAAAATTAATTAAAGTCTATTCTCTGAGCCACAGGAAGCCAGTGCAGAGACCTGAGAACTGGACTAATGTGGTCGTACTTCCTGGTTCTAGTCAGGACTCGAGCTGCTGCATTTTGAATGTACTGCAGCTGTTTTACAGCCTGTTTGGCCTGTGAGCAGGGAGAGAGACTGTAGGTGACAGATGACGCTCTCTCTTTGTTTCTGGGGACCAAAGACAATCATTTCAGTTTTGTCTGCGTTTAGCTGAAGGAAGTTGTTTTGCATCCACTCACTGATCTGTTGGATACAGTGAAGGAGTGAGTCCACTGGTCCATGTTCTCCATGGCGGCACGGTGGCTGAGTGGATAGCACTCTCGCCTCTCAGCAAGAAGGTCCTGGGTTCGAATCCCGGTCGGATTTACAGCCGACCGGGATTGAATCCGTAATTGAATCCCGGTCGGACCAGGGCCTTTCTGAGTGGAGTTTGCATGTTCTCCCCGTGTCTGCTTAGGTTTCCTCCGGGTACTCCGGTTTCCCCTACCACTAAAAATATGTCCAATAGGCATGTCTGGCATGCGCTTCCTGTACCGGCGACCCCGCTCCCATCTCTGTGTGGAGTGAGAGATAAATGCCCATAATTAACCATTGTAAACCACTTTGAGACTCAGACTCAGATCTTTATATAAATAAAGATTACTACTACTACTACTGCAGTCAGTGAGACATAGATCTGAGTGTCGTCTGCATAGCCAAGTGAGGACACTTGGTTTCTGCGTATTAACTGACCTAAGGATTTCTTAATCTGAATTTGTTTGGTAAAAGAAAGTTACGTACCCCAGCTTTAACATCATAACTCACTCTCCCTTGTTGTTGCTTCAGATCCTGGCCCTGGTGGCGGTCCGAAAGGCAATGGACTACATGTTTTCTCAGCACGAACTGGGCTTTTTGGACGACGTCATCCCCGAGAAAGACAAGAAGAAGAAGGAGGACGAGAAGAAGAAGCGCGGCAGTATTGACAGTGACGCGGAAGAGGTCAGTGCTTTCCGCAGATGAAAATACGATGTGTAGGTTTGTTGTCGCAGCTGTTTTCAACCACAATGTGTTGCTATAGAAACATCCAACTGAGACTACAGTATTTTGTGATACTGACACAACAACAAGAGAGAAGCATTTCAGGAAAAGAGATTAAAAGTGGAGATCAGATTTGTTCCTTATTCAACCTCTATGGGATTATTATGTATAATTTCCCTTCTGCCTGTTTCCTATTCTTATTTCCCTCATTGGCATTTTTCCACCAGGATAGTGCTGCACTTTTTTTTTTTCACATTTAATAAATATATATTGTTTATTTATTTATTTTTGTGTGAAAGTTTTCCAGTGCCAACTTTGAATTATATACAGTAAATCACATCTGGTGCATATATATACCCACCCATACATACACATACGTATATATACAGTACATACACTTGCATAAAAGAACGCAACAGACATGAGAAAAGAAAATATAAACAACAACAAAAATAGCATAGATTTAAAAAAATGATAGCCGTAATCATAATAATAACTAAATAACTAGAAAACACTAAAAATACTAAATATAAAAGGAAAAGGAAATAAATACAATGAACAGAAATAAAGTAGTAGTGCGTAACATATGTTTCAGAATTAATCTTCTTTTAGATATTTCTCCCATTATTTCTTAAAAATCAGTGCATGGTCCCAAACTGGCCTATAGACATTTACTTCATGCACGTAAGTAACTAGTTCACTGTAGAGCACTCTGAGTTGAGTGAAGATTTATCTTTAAAAATGTCTCATGCAGTTCTTCCCATTGCCACTAGAGGGCGCTAGAGGCAACCCAATCAAAAAACATTAAATATGTACTTAGAACAAATCACTTCCAACTGTTAATGCCATATCGATATCTGCAAAGTTACACGTCATTTAAAAGTGTAAGGAGCAGAGATGACAGATTATATGGGTCGAAGTAGAATAGTCCAAGAAAAATACATGTCAGCAACTTCAATTGCATTTCATGTTTTAAAATAAGGCATAATTCTGACCATGGGACACTGCACTACTACTGTATGTACACTAAGTATTTTTCAATGTTATCATTTTCAAAAAAGTCACCCGTCGGCATGATTACAACCTGAAAGCTTTGCTGGAGGAGAATCGTAAAACCAATGACGAGGGGTCTCAAGGATTTGAATACATTTTGTCCAATCAGGAAGCTGCGGGGCTGAGTATGGGCGGGTCTAAGACATGAAAACACATGCATTCACTTCAAGCCAAAAAAATTTACTTTACCCACTGCAACTGAAACATGGAGCCGATCCTCCTAGCGTTTGGTCTAACTAGAACTATAGACTTTTATCTATTTCTGAATGTTGTCTCTTCTTGTAATTACACCAACTGCCACATTTACATAACGATAGGTTTGTTTTTTTGTTTTTATCTAGATCCCCATTACAATAGCTACTGAAATACACATCAGCTATACTGCCTGGGGTCTATATACTCATCAATGTCACACAAATTGATGTACAATGGACAAAAATGAATGTACAAACAAAAAATATGCTTAGACAAAAATACAGAAATGTTGTAACTATAATACATACACACACGCACGCACACACACGCGCACGCACACACACACTTTAAACAGGTGACATAGAAGTTAGTTACAGCGACACACCTAAGCACCAGGCCTCACTTGCTGTTTTCTCTGTGACAGTCCGACTACCCTTACAGTGAGAATGTTCCCAGCATTAAAATCCCCATGGACATGATGGAGCAGGAGCCTTTCTTAGGTGATAAGGCGTCTGACAGTGAGTAGAGGCCGAATCCTGAGAAACCGCCGCAAGCTCTCTTAATTTCTCTTTTGTTCTCCGCCTTTCTAACCTACATATTGTGTTTTGCTGTTTACCTTTTTGTAACCTGCTTATTGTCTTTTGGTGCACATTCGTTTTAGAAATAGATGGATATACTAAGCTATTCACTGGCTGCTTCCACTCACCTCAAATCTTCTTATGTCAGATTTCAGATGGAGGTTATGTGGATCACAACATTCAGGCAAAACTGTGAAAGCTGCAATGATGAGTAATGACAGTTTTTTCCTCTAACTCTATAATGTGAGATTTACTAGTCTGATAACAAACAAAACATTTATAACTAGCACAAAAGTTGTCTGGTGCTGTGAGCAGTTCTGATCGCCACCACCCCAAACCAGAAATGAACTGAGAAATACGTTTGTCAATGGCTGTTTATTGGTGCTATTACGGTCTGTTATATACTGTACGTCTGCACCTGTGCTCCCATCGTATCACTTCTACCTGAAAATGTATGTTACGCAACAGAAATTGAACAAGAAAAAGGCGAATTATGTTTACAAAAAGTAAGTGAGAAAAGACAGCTTCATGTCTGCTGTCATCTGCTGGATCTGTAAACAAACTGCAAGCCTCCGTCTGTCCGATCATGCATCATCATCGTCTGGCCGTCCCTACCTGTAAGTGATTGGTCCCCAAATCCATGCAAAAAATTAGACCTGAGTTTCCAGGCTGTTTGAAACACAGCTGTAGGGTATTCTCAGGCTAGGATCGCCTGTCCCGAATTGTGAAAATGCAAATTAGAATTTCTGAACTAACAAAAAAACAACAGAAAACCTTTATTCTTGGTAATGGAAACAGTAAATATCAGCAAAATAAATCCATTGTTAATTTTACTCGGTGTGGGTATCAGTAATTTGCCTCATGTAATCCCATAACCTCTACTGTTTGCACGGTTTGTTTGTTTTTCTTGATGTTTGCACGGCAGCTGGGCTTTCATATAACTACTTTTCTTCTCTCGCTCCAATGCACGTTTCTTGTCAATCTTTAGTGACTTACTCTGCACTATTCAAACTAATGGAGTTTTGTATTAACAGGAGATAAGTCACCTGCGTTCACTGAACACCAAACGTCATGCTGAGCGAATGGACTACTACCAGGCCGACTACACGTCCAGGTCAGTCTCTGGCAAAGCCAACGACACATGTTGGTGTGGTATGTACTTTATTTGAACAATGGGACAATGTATAATTAAACATTTACCTAGAGGAGAAATTTATTGTACCAGGTTATAGCAAAGATCCTCATTTCCACCTGTAGTCCCTGGGCTGGCCGACTTTATACTCATCTTTATTGTTTATATTATTTGTATAATGATTGGTTCTTAAAACAGAAGATGTTTTTCTTATTTTTTAATCTTGATGTAACTACTATATATTTTGACGGTCTGGGAACAGCATTAGCCAATGGACCTAACATGTTGAGTCAAGTACTGTGAAAAAAAGTAATACATCTGGGGTAAATTGTGTGTGTATTTTATTTAATCTTTATTTAACCAGGAAAGTCCCATTGAGATAAAGAACCTAATTTTCAAGGGAGTCGTGGAGTTTACATAACTTTTAAACCACCACAAATGTATCTGTGTCTATGTTCTATCATTACCACTACTACATTCACATGCATGTACTTTTGTCACATCTCTACATCAACTTTTACTGGAAAAAGTAAAAACATGGGACCACTCTCACACTCAGCTAGAGGTGCAACGGTTCATCAATGATCCGTGATCCGTTCGGATCAACGTCTTCGGTTCGGTACAGACGTGATCCGCGGTTTGATTTGTGAAAAACAAAGTTGTGCCCACGTTGTTCAGTCCACACACAGCGCGGTCATTGCGAGCAGAGGAACGGAGATACTTGAAAGCCCCGCGTCATTTAAATCCCCAGTAGGAGAGCATTTTGGCTTCACTGTAACTACACTGATAATTCATATTCGACAAAACTGTCACAGTGTGTAAGCACTGTGGCACAAGAAAGACATGAGTGAAAAAAAACATCTCAACAACCGCTTATTGTCGCAGCATTTAAGCAGCTCCTTTACGCACAGTCAGACCGGGCTAAAGTCAACTCTCCCGCGCATCCTCAGCTGCGCTCATGACTGACGCTTGGACGTCCCGCGGAACCGATAATAGATCCATGAGCGGAACGGAGAACTTCATCACCGCAGACTGGGAGATGAGAAGTCTGGCGCTGCAGACACCCCCCCTTCACCAAAGTAACACAGGCACACAGGTACTGACACAAGCAGCAGAGGAATGGAAGACCAAGGCCCAGTACTAATATCCCAGTCACAACTGATAATGCAAACAATTAAATACATGCAGTGAATGAGGCTGGACTGGGCCCAGAATGGAGCGCCTCCTTGGGAGAATCAGGTGGTTTAATATATGAGGGTAAATATCCTCATAAAGTGCCTTCTTTTGTTGCACTTTGTGTTGTTTTTCATTAATTTTGTTAAAAAGACATAATTGGATGGATGGAATATGCCTTCCATCCATCCATCCTTTTCCTTCCCCTTAATCCATTTCTAGGTCAGGGGGGGCAGTCAGAGCAGGTACCGAGTCCACATGAGCCGTGTTTATTAAAAAGACAAAACTTTTTTTTTGAAAAATGAACCAAAAAATGAACCGAACCGTGGCCTCTGAACCGAGGTACGAACCGAACCGTGATTTTTTTCAAACCGTTGCACCCCTACTCTCAGCCCAAAGCGTCAAATGGTGACTCGCAGAGCTAAGGGGTGGGAACATTTCTAAGCTTAAATAATTGAAAATGAACCCACGTAAACAGGATATGACTGAGACAAGGCCAATGGATGCATTTAAGTGGGAAAATTTTCTGGATTTTCTTTTCTTTATTGCGATGATGTACACAGTCTATCATTGTTTTGTTTTCACTCCATGAGACAGACGCAAAACTTTATCAAAAACATAGTGCATTTAATTGCTCTGCGGAAATGTTTTGCGGAAATGTTTTGCGGAAACCAAATGCTCGAAGTAAACAAACTGTTGTGCGATTAAATGTTCCAAAACCATGCGTGTACTGTCTGTATGATAGCATTTTTATTTTATTCCAATTCCAAAGTTTGACTAATGATACAAAGTTACCAGACAATCATATAAAGTGCCCGTGTAGACTGGTACCAGATTGGTCAGACCGGTTTGGAGACAAAGACGAACGGTCCATATTCTCTTGCCTTGTAAATACAGTTTGGAGCTTTGTTAGAATGTATTTGTGTTTAGAAAGATGTTCCAATAGCAGACATCTTTACTCAAGTCGACTCAAAGTATTTCCTTCCATTGGCACTTCCTTTTATTTGGATAATTATGGAATCTAGTCAAATGTTGTCATAAATTAAATGTATTGATCAGTGTGCAGAACTGTTAAACATGAGCTCATGATGCTACAGCTGAAGCGGAGTTCTGCCTCAGGTTGTGAGGGAGGGTCACGTATTGCCCCTGCAGCCCCCATCTGCCCTCATGTGGGAACAGTGCTGACGAAAGTACCACTCAGAAGAGATTAGCTTTTGGGACGACGAGCAAAATGCAGCAACAAAAAGTGAACTCCAGAAAGGAACTTGGCTTTTAGATAGAATTGTAGATCAATATGTGTAAATGCATATAGACAATCCCGCAAGGAGTACACAATCATTTGTTGATTTAGAACATTGAACACGGAATCAAGGATGAGGAAGGGGTAGTAGGAGGTTTCAATGTTAACTCTATAGTTAGCATTGCATCAAAGCTTTTTCTTTCTTCTGGATGGTATGAAGGTATGAAGCCGAAGAAGCTGTCATGGTTGTCATCTGCAGTTGATCCATCCTGCAATGTCCCTTTGGCTTTGGTCAAGAGCATTAGTTATCGATGTGCAGCGCTCAGGGTCCCGTCTCCAGGTGTTGATGTTTGGTTTGGATCAGAGCTGGAGGATTTTACTTTATAAACCTTTCATACAATTACTTACCCCTGGACTAATGATGGACTACACTGTCTTAGAGAACAGTGTGTGTGTAACCAATGCCAGGACAAACACTCGCTTCTGTCAGTGTGCCCCAGGGCAGCTGTGGCTTCAGTAGTAGTTTATCACCACCGTGTATGGCGTGAATGAATAATGACACGTCTTTGAGTGTCCAAAAAAGTGCTATATAAAACCAATGCATTATTATTATTATTAGAACTCATGGTTTGACACTGTGTTCAGTGCAGCTGCTGCGCTGTGAGAGAAAACTAGTAACAGGAGCTTTACAATACAGTGGTGCCAGTGACAATTTACTTCTTTTCAGTTCTCCAAAGTCGTGTCCCACGTTTATCTGTATCATATCTACTACGTGTCTTCAAAGCCAGATACTGCAGCTTCTCAGGGGTTATGAATCCTAGAGCGGGGGCAGTGATTAAAGATTGTGGTTGCAGCTCCATAGTTGTGTGTACTTACATGTCTACATTGCAAATTATGAAAAATAAGTCAAAAATTGCTCATATTTGGTACTTCTATTATCTATTTGTTACTTTTATATCTTGTTTTGCACCATGAGCCAAAGCAAATTCTTTGTTTGTCACTTCCCGCTACTTACAATGGGTAAAATAATTCTGATTCTGATATTTCAACCGTGTGCCGGTCTAATGCTCTTCTGAAACAATTGTTCAAACCTGCATGAATCCTTGTCCTGTTTGGTGCAGAAGTGAAATGAAACTCACATAAGTCACTTAAAGCCATTGTGAATGACCACTACCTAATCCTTACAAAATGCCGCCCTCAATCGTCAGCGCTTGTGCAACCTCTGCAGCTGAAACTTGTACCTTTCTGGACACACAGGGTTTAGATCAGTTACCGGCTTACGTATGAGGCAGAGTAAGCGTCATTGTGAAGCAGTATTATCCAAACATAAGAGGTCCGGGATGTGTTTTGGCACATGTCTGTCAGAGAGGATGACGCAGGCGGTGATGCTGACATGATCTTCC